GATTCGAACCACCAACCTTCTGATTGGCAAGTTCTAGGTTCTGTGGTTTAACCCACAGCGCCACTCGCGTCCCATTATTATGAAATAGGACATCCCTATTTTCATCAGAGAAATGTTCAAGGGTATGATGTATTCCGTTACTACATTTATATTTCAGATGCTCCTTCCACCTCCAACAACACGTTTTGCTTTGTAAAATGTAGCTCAACCTAGAGATGTTTCATGTGGCATGTTGCCAGCCATCACAGCAACACTGCCACCACCAAGTGGACAAATAGTCAAACTACACTCATGTTTGCCCAGAGGTTGCCATAATTCAATCACTCCCTTTTTTTGTGCTTATGCAAGGAGCTTATAGCAGAAGGCAGGAGCTTCTTGTGCAGAAACTTGCTGCAAAAGTAGTGCACTTATGGCTACATATTTCAGGAGGATGGAAGCCTGCAAATCAGCTGGCAGATGCTTTTTCACACAGCGAAGCAGAGCAGGCAAGACTCGGAATTGCTTCAAGGGTACTCCAGGTCTGTTTATTGAGCATCCATCCCGATTTGCGTGCAGAAGGCTAACAGAGAGGTCAGACTAGGGCTGTGCACACATTACCTTGGCTTCAGTGTGCTCCTGCTAGCTGGCTTTTGAATTTGTGCACGGATGACATTACCTGTGATACAGAGCTGCCCTGTCGTTTCTTGGTTTGGTGAGGCATTATTCCATCAGAAAACAACCTTTCTCCCTCCTCTATGTGACATCCTTTTATATATTTGAACATGGCTATCATATCACCCCTTAACCTCCTCTTCTCCAGGCTAAGGGAGCTGGGCATGTTTAGCCTGGAGAAGAGGAGGTTAAGGGGTGATATGATAGCCATGTTCAAATATATAAAAGGATGTCACATAGAGGAGGGAGAAAGGTTGTTTTCTGCTGCTCCAGAGAAGCAGACACGGAGCAATGGATCCAAACTACAAGAAAGAAGATTCCACCTAAACATTAGGAAGAACTTCCTGACAGTAAGAGCTCTTCGACAGTGGAATTTGTTGCCAAGGAGTGTGGTGGAGTCTCCTTCTTTGGAGGTCTTTAAGCAGAGGCTTGACAGCCATATGTCAGGAGTGCTCTGATGGTGTTTCCTGCTTGGCAGGAGGTTGGACTCGATGGCCCTTGTGGTCTCTTCCAACTCTATGATTCTATGATTAGCTCAAATGGGCCTGGGAAGAAACCCCCGAAAGAGCCCAATGAGGACTGAACATGGTCAGTGATGCATTGCCTCTCAAAGCAGCTTCCATCGCGGCATTTTTGTGGTGTCAGGAAAACCAAACAGGTAATGTGCGCTGGTTGAAACCATCCCCACCCCTCTCTGCCAAGTACAATGTGCAAATATCACTTGAGATTAAACATTTCAAGGTGCTAATCTGTAAATATGTGGAGTTGTTATACAGCAATGAGCTTTTCTCCAGATTTGCTTGTGGGGAGCTTACATGCTTTTCGGTTCATCCCACACTTCTAGCGCATTTTCTCATTTGTTTCCTAAATACTAAGTTTTTTTTTTATTTAAAAAAATGGTGGATTTGTGTGCCTAGGACACCACAGCGCTTTAATTGTGCAAGCCTAAAGTTCTGCCATGGGACTGAACCCTTCCCGCAAAATACTGAGAGCCCCATCAATACTCTTGTCCATGCTCTGTTCTCCTCAAACAACTGCTGTTCCACACTTTCTCCCCATTGAGGTTTCGTCAGTTGTTTTCGTTTATCGCTGTTGCTCAGTAGGTCTATCTTCCATGAATTTTGTCTCAATCGACCTAGCTCAAATATGGGGAACATGGCAACCTCTAGACGTTTCTGGACTCCATCTCCCATCAGCCCCCAGCCGGCATGGCCGAATGTCAGGGATGCGAGTTGGAGTCCAGCGACGTTTGTAGTGGCACGGGTTTGCCATAACTGACCAAGCTGGTCACCCTATACAGAAATGAAAAACATATTAATGATTAACACCTTTTCAAATCGTAGGTGTTGGAAACAACCAAGAGGTAAGCCTAAACCTTGCTGAGATATTGCTTACTGCATTTTTCGCTCTATAGGACGCACCGGACCATAGGATGCACCTTGTTTTAGAGGGGGAGAACAAGAAAAAAAAAATCTCCCCATCACTGCTCAGCGCCCCTTCAGCAAAGCGGCAGGAGAAACGGAGCCCCTTCCATTTCTCCTCCCGCTTGGCTGAAGGGGCGCTGTGCAGCTCTCCTTCTCTGCTGAAGCCAGGAGAGTCTTGCTCTCCTGGCTTCAGCGAAAGGAACCTGAAGCCTGCGGAGCGCAGCGGGAACTCGACCCCTCTCGCTCTCCAGACTTCAGCGAAAGCAACGCGTAGCCTCTGGAGCGCGGAGGGAGCGCTCCCTCTGGGCTTCGGAGGCTTCGCGTTGCTATCGCTGAAGCCAAGGAGCCTGCATTCGCTCCATAGGACAAACAGACATTTTCCCTTAATTTTTGGAGGGGGGACAGTGCATCCTATAGAGCGAAAAATACAGTATTTGGAACATTTTCTAGGCTACTGTCAGAATGGGTTGCTAAGGAAAGCAGAACTATTATGAAACAAAGGTTATGTAATCCAGACTTGCCTTGATCCAGAAATGGATGGCTGTTGTTTCAGCCTCTGGCGGTGGGTCTCAGAAAATGCTGCTGTTCCACACCACACCAGGATGCAAATTCTATGCAGTTTTTAAAATTTGGAGTGGGGTAAAAAAAATACACAGAGAGACACGAGCGCGCACACTGTCTGAGAGACAAATAAAATTCAAAAGCCGTGTTTTTGAGTTTCCGTCGCTTTATTTTGCAAAAATAGAAAAGTCCCCTCTTCTGCGGCACAGCTGGGAGTGCAGGGACAGGACAGATTCCTCTAAAACACCATGGAAAGCTGGTCTGTAAACATCACGGAAGGGCTTCAGCCTCTTCTCCATCCCGCCCCACAGCAAACAGACCCCATCTTAAGGCCTGGGGTATTTATTTCATTAATTCGTTTCATTTCATTTTGGCAGCTTAAAATGACTGGGGGAAGAAGCCAAGGCAGTTTTCGGCAGAGCCTCTCGTTCCTTGGGGGGGGGGGCGCTGTTCCACCCGCCTCATCGCCTGCTCTGGGGTGGGGGTGAAGGTGCAACTCTTTGTGCTACCCACCCCCCTGGTGTAAACATAGGCAAATAAATAAATCCGCCAAAAGTCTTGCCCCATTCATGGCCAGCAAGGGGCAGCAGAACCTTCAGCTCTCATTCCCAAAGCAGCAGAGGGGAGGCTTTTGTTTCTCTCTCCCCGCACTGATGAAGCAGACGTAGGGTGAGATGGAATCGCAGCTGCCGATGGCGGAACATTAGCAAAAGGGTGCTGGTGCGATGCCACCCTCCCGAACCCTCGCTTCTTGTAGTGTTCCGGTTTGGTTCCTTTCGTATTGCTAGGAGCACAGGGAAGGGGAGGTGGGAGACGCTTTCTGCAAGTCTTTTGCCCTCTGGAGAGGAGAGGAAAGAGCATTTTCCATATTTGGTCCATTGGAGCTTTGGAGCAAAGCAGATCTCCTCCCCATCTTAGGCCTGGGGGAAGGGGAAACAAAGCTTCCTAAAGCAGGAGTGACCCGTCCCTTCCCCTTTATCAAAGTGCTGGGGAAGAAAACTTTGCCAGTTAAGGTAAACAGTGTCCCGCACCTCCCTGCCAAGTCCCCCTTTCCACACAACCTTATCAGAGAGCGGCTGGTTCTCGCTGCGGAGGGGGGAGGTTGTGGGTAGGGGGCAGCAGAGGGCCCTGAGGGACAGGAAATGAGTTCAAGTCTGCAGCTCTGGCACCCCCGACCCTCACCCTTTCCTCAATATCTTTGGTATCTAGTGTCCTTTGGGGTCTGTTTCCCAGAATCCTTAGCACCGGGGTCAAAAGCATCCCAAGCGAGAACAGAGACAGCAAGCCACGCCCCCTGTTGCCCCCCTCTGCCTTGGGAGGGAGGAGGAAGGCTGGACGGACTGCTGCCCCTCTTCTCCCCCACCCCCTCCTACACACACACACACACCTGATACAGGATTGATTTCCGCCCCAAACAATAAAACATTAGCGCTTTATACAGCTAACAAAAAACAAAAAAAGACACACACCCCCAGCCCGTGAAACTCACCTCCCTCAAAAACAAAGACTCCACAACCCCTTGGAATCCGCAAGACATGGTCATGAACACGCACACGCACGTCCAAAAATCCCACAACAGGGATATATATATGTATGCTGAAATCCTGGCTTCACTCTCCCCATCCCACATAGTCATTGGTCCGAGATCCTTGTGTGCATTTCGGGATGTGGGAGAGAAATGCAATCCCTCTAGCCGCCTCCAGAGACTAGAATAAATAGTGTCCCGGATGCCTGGGTTCCTGGCTTGGGAGGGTACAGTTCGCATCCAGCCGGGACAGTGGACCAGGCCGCGAGGGAGGAGGCCAGGAGCGCGGTGTGGTGTGTGTTTGGGGTCACACGTCGCAGAGTCTTTCTCTCTCGGCTCTCAAGGCGCCCCTCTTCCCACAGGCAGGAGTGCGAGGGGGGCGGATTGCACAGCGGGAGCTCCTCCCGTTTTGAAAGAAGAGGTCTCCCAGTCCAAGCCCCTTGGGGGCTTTCCCAGGTCCCAGATATTTGGCTTGAGGGCGCCCGACGCAACTGGGCAGGCGGCCTGGGGCTTTTGGCAGAGCTATGGGGTTTGAGGGGCAAAGGCGAGTTTAGAATATACATCCAAGGGCCCCGCGGGGGGAAAGGTTTAAGGCAAGAGGCATCCAAAACCGCCCGAGAAGTCACCAAACGCAGCCGAAGAGGGGGGAATGTGGAGTCTCCCTAGTTGTTGCCGTGACACCCAACTCCGGGGGCTTGCAGGAAAGGCCCGAGTATTAAGGCAAAGAGTCCTGGAGGAAATGGGCGGCTGGAAGGACGGAGGAGATAGATGTGGAAAGGGTTTTCTTTTTTTCCTTCTCCCGGCCTTTCCTAGCCTAGATCCTGGCTCTCTTTGAGATGCTAGGGGGCTTCCTGCTCTTCGTCCTCCTCCTGGCTCTTGGCATCTGCAGGGCTCTCCTCAGAGCTGGGGGGTTCTGCCAGGGGCGGGGGCTGCGACAACTCGTCTTCAAACATCTCGGGGTTTTCCAGCATCTCTCGGATGAGCGGTGGCATGGGACCAGGAATCTCCATCTTAAGGGTGATGGCTCGTTCAGCCCCTGTTTGGGGGAGAAGGGGGAAGAAGGGAGGTGTGGGATTTAACATCACAAAAGCAGTCCAGTACAACGTTTCCTGTTTGTCCAGAGTGGACACACAGGGGAATGTTGCTTCAGCCAGGAGGACTTCCTGTCACACCTGGTCTGGAGCATCGTCCCCCTGCATGTGACCAGGTAGATGGGCGTGACCCTGGCAGACCCTATAAAGGGGCTGGTCACGCAGCCATTTTGCCTTTTTCATCTTATCCCATCTTTTTTGTTATTTATTTATTTATTAAAGATTTTCTTGTTTTACAGAAGTATGTGTAATGTCTCTCGTATTTTTCCCATGCAACATTTTTACAAATCTGTTTCATTTGTTGAGACATTGGTGGGGGGGAGAAAAAAAGGGGTGGAGGGGGGGAAGATGGGGGGGGTCGGTTGGCGATGTTTCTATTTTGCTTAATGTATGTGGGGTTTGGTGTCAGCGTTGCTCGTGTAGGTTCTCTGCTGTTCATTTGTGTTTCGTTGGTGGTGAGAGAGGTTGGGGTTGGCCTAGGGTGTGGTTGTTTGTGATTGGCTGTGGTGGTCTTTGTTTTCGTGTGTGAGTGGGGTGGGTGTTTTGGATCAGGTTAGCCATATTGATTTGTATGCTGTGGGTGGATTATTGTCATTGTCTTGTTGGGCTGTGTATGTGATAAAGGGAAGGCGTCTTCTTCTGTTTGTCCCCATGTCAGTTTCAGTTTATTGGTTAATTTTTCTAGTAGGGCTGTTTCCCATACTATTTGGCACCATTGGTCCATGCTTACTCCTGACAGGTCTCTCCAGTGTCTGGTTATGGTGTTTCTGGCTGCTGAAAGTAGGTGGGTTATGAAAATCCAACTATGCTGGACAACGGCCTACGAGAAATATGTAAAATAACTAAGCAAGTATTAGAAATCACCCCAGAATTGGCCCTACTAAACATCTTCCAAGACAACAATGCCCATTTACACCTTATCCCATCTTGATGCCTTTTGCTGTGTGCTGGCTCTCAGCCAGAAACACATGGGCTCATCCCTCACAAACAATGAACTCACACCTTTGTCTGCAACTGTAACTAAAAGCTAAAGCCTGTCTTCAAGGTCATACTGTGAACTGAATGTAAGTAAACCTTATCATTATAGTTGTACCTTGTTTTTCGAACAGCCTAGTTCTCGAACGTTTTGGCTCCCAAATGATTGCAACCTGGAAGTGACTGTTCCGGTTTTCAAACGTTCTTTTCGAAGCCAAACGTCCGACGGGGCTTCCGATTGGCTGCAGGAGCTTCCTGCAGCCAATCTGAAGCCGCGATTTGGAAGTCGAACGGACTTCTGGAACAGATTCCGTTCAACTTCCAAGATAGGACGGTACAGTGCTTTCTAAAAGAAGACTGTTGTGTCATTATTGTTTTTAAAAGGGAAATAATGGATTGAAGGGCCGCGGGTGGTGCTGTGGGTTAAACCACAGACCCAAGACTTGCTGATCAGAAGGTTGGCGGTTTGAATCCCTGCAATTGAGTGAGCTCCCGTTGCTTGGTCCCCGCTCCTGCCAACCTAGCAGTTCGAAAGCACGTCAAAGTGAAGTAGATAAATAGGTACGGCTCTGGTGGGAAGGTAAACGGCGTTTCCGTGCGCTAATGGTCAGGGGTCCCTTTCCCTTTACCTTTACCTTTACCTTTACCAGGGATTTACCAGGAACAATCCAATCTGTACAAGCCAGACTGGATTGTACAACCATTTAACTGAAATGGTTCTAACGAATCTATCAATTAGCTGCCTGCTATGTACGGGGGTATGTGTTCTGCTACTAGCTCACTAGCGTGGGTGAGGAAGGATAATATTTAATCAATATATGTTCTCCTACTATCCTCAACATTCCTACAGGAGGAAAGGCAGCCATGAGACCCGGGCGGAGTTTCCCTGGCAGCAGAGATGGCGAGAATAGCTGCACCGCAGGGCACTACTGTTACATGCTCTTCTCTGGCGCTACTGCAAGCGCATGGAAGGAATTGGCAAGTTCTTGCACACTGATAAGGCAACTGGCCGGCTGTGGGCAAAATCTGTCGATGCACACCCCAGGAGATTTCTCGTTGCTCCTGGAAGAGGTCAGTGCCGGGATGTAGAAGAACCAAAGGTTTGCCGCGGAGGAGATAACGAAGGTTTCCCCCCTCCTCCCTTCAATGCTGTGATTTTGCTGGGGAGGAACCAAAGGGAACAGAGATCCCATAAGCTCCCATCCAACACTGAGGATGCTGTGGGCAAGATGGGGAGGAGATGCAAGAGAACAACTGTTCCTACACAATGCCTGGAAACAGAAAATGGCAGGGGTGACAACGAATGCGCCACGAGTCGTTGGTTCTCAATAATCCGGTTTTGAGATGCCTGAGATCAGCACAGAAAAGTTTGTAGCTATATGAAGATGATCATTCTGCCCTTAACCAGCTGCCAGCCCTCTGACTTACAACCAGTTCAACAAGTGCATCTGGCTTTGAACCTCCTCTTCAATTTACAATCATAGAATTCTAGAGTTGGAAGGGACCCTAAGGATCATCCAGTCCAACCCCCTGCAATGCAGGAATATGCAGCTGTCCCTTAAAGGTTCGAACCTGCAACCTTGGCATTATCAGCACTATGCTCTAACCAACTGAGCTATCCAGGCAGCCTGACGGTAGGGAAGGGAATGGAGATGAAATATACTCGGAGTCGAGACTGGATTTCATGCTCTTTATTCAGCTCATAGTGGTGAGGAGGAATGGAAGTTCCCCCAGAATGTCTGCTTTATATACATTATTTACACAATGGGCCCCATATGATTGGCTAATTCCGGGATTCACCTGTAGGCCAAGCAGGTTGCGGATTCACTTCCACCTGGAGCTGGATTGGGTGGCTCCTGTGGACCAATCAGACTGCTGCATTCTGGACCCTATTGTTCTAGGACCAATCAGACTGCTGCCTTTTGGATCCTATTCAACTCAGTACACAACAGGAAACAAAACTAGAATGAGTTGGCTCTGGCTCCACCTACTGGTGGCTGCCTTGCCTTCTTCTGCCCCACCAATTCCAATGGGGACCAGCCACCACGCATTCGCATCCAGGGTGCAATTGCCTATGTGGCACTGTGTTGATGATGGGCTTGTGCTCACCTTTGGTGCTGATCCCCCGCAGGTCAGTGATCTTCATCAGCATGCGGGGAAACATGTAAGGCTTGTTGGGCCGACGTCGGCGAGCGTAAATCTTCAGGGCTTCCAGCAGTGGCTCTTGTAGCTTGTCCACCTTCTCCGGCTCTTCCAGGTCCATTCGATCTGGAGACGAAGAGACAGGCAGTGCTGTTTGTTTTGTTGGTTTTGTCTTTTGAGTTCTTTATCGAAAGGCGGGGCAGAAATGCAATGTCAGTCGATCAGGAAGAGGTTACTGCTTTGAGGAGGTTGGAAAGACAGCCATGTGGGATTCAGAAACAGGCATGTTCAGCACATTAAACGGAGCCGTAATACCAAGCATGCAACCATTTAGCAGAATTATACAAATGTGTATACAAATTACCAGTGTGATTGTTCTGATAGAAGATTCTGGCCTTTCTAGTTGTAGACCAGTGTCTCACAAACCTGGGTCTCCAGTTGTTTTTGGACTACAGTTCCCATCATCCCTGATCACTGGTCTTGCTAGCTAGGGATGATGGGAGTTGTAGTCCAAAAACAGCTAGAGACCCAAGTCTGGAAACACAGCTGTATACTTTATGATACTATTCCAGGCTTTCTGCTGATGCAGATGTCATTTCCTATCCTTTCCCTGCAGTGTCTTAGAAATCTTACAAAATTTGGTACTGGTTGCTTGCAAAGTAGAACTATCGGCAAGAACCAGACCTCAAAAAGGTCGACAGGCTCCCTTTGCCAGCCCTTAAAGACAAAGCTGGGGAGCGGGTGGCGCTGTGGGTTAAACCACAGAGCCTAGGACTTGCCGATCAGAAGATTAGCGGTTCGAATCCCCGCGACGGGGTGAGCTCCCGTTGCTCGGTCCCTGCTCCTGCCAACCTAGCAGTTCAAAAGCACATCAAAGTGCAAGTAGATAACTAGGTACCACTCCGGCGGGAAGGTAAACGGCGTTTCCGTGCGCTGCTCTGGTTCTCCAGAAGCGGCTTAGTCAAGCTCGCCACATGACCCGGAAACTGTATGCCGGCTCCCTCAGCCAATAAAGCGAGATGAGCGCCGCAACCCCAGAGTCGGTCACGACTGGACCTAATGGTCAGGGGTCCCCTTTACCATTAAAGACAAGGCTGATAACAATGCCTGAGGAGGCTGCAACACGGCCATTACCTCCACAGATGAGGCAGATGGCGCTGAGCAGTCCTGTCTCTGTGTCGTCCATCTCAAGAGGCAGCAGTTGCCCAGCAAAGGCAAAGACCAGGTCTGTGAGGGGCCCAAATCCTGCATTGTGCATCTGGGTGCGGTTCAGGGTCAGCCCATCCGAGAAGGTCATGGTGTCCTGCTCTGGGGTGTAGCGGGTGCAAATACGGAGCATCTGCAGAAGGCGGAAGGGAGCACAGAGAAGACGGTCAGGAAGAAGGTCACGTCTAGAATGTCCTCTTAAGTGGGGCAGCAATAAAACTGCTAGCACATTTGCAAAGCTAAGCAGGGTCTGGTATGGTTTCAAATTGCAGGGGTTGGACCAGATGACCCTCAGGCATAGCTGTCAACTTTTCCCTTTTCTTGTGAGGAATCCTATTCGGAATAAGGGAATGTCCCTTAAAAAAAGAGAAACGTTGACAGCTATGGCCTCGGGGATCGCTCCCAACTCTACAATTCTATGATTAATAAGGGAGAGGTTCTCACTAGAGGTTATCCACTCTCCCTCTTGTCCCACTGCTTTCATCCAGGGAAAAACGATCTTTAGTGCTCAATTGGAGCAAATGGCAATTCGGGTTTTCTCTGGATTGACATTTGCTTTGATTTAGTATTTAGGAGTGGGCCTTGCCTGGGAATGAGGAAAACTGCTTGGATCCATGCTTTCTAGGCATGGGATAAGCACAAGTGTGGATGAGCCCTAGGTCTGCAAAGAAGGTTGCAATTCTGTGTATTAGGTGCAGAGTTCAAGTGTCCTGAGAATCTCAGCCTCTCAAGTAAGCTTCTTGGCCTTTAACCCCTACAACAACAGGCTCAGAGTGGTTGGAAGATGCCCAGGGAAACCTCGACAGACAGAGATGGAGCTGAGCAGAATTCCCAGCACACAAGAAGGGGCTTCAACATCCTGCCTTACTCCTTGCTCTTCTCTACAATTAGCAGAAGCAGAACTGTCTGAGCACATGCTTAATTTTGCACCATTTCAGACAACCCTGCAGAAAGGCGTGGCAAAGCTTTTTCTTTCTCTCCGTTGTCACCGTTTGCATCCCGCATTATATGCAGCCCTCTGGCAAAGGCCACACACCCCTCGCTTCCCCAATCAGCTCTTGTTGCCTGCTGTAGCCCCTCACCAAGATGTCTAGGCAGGCCGCCTTGAGCAGGGTGATTTGGTCGGCGATGCTGAGGGTGGTGAAGCCTGGCAGGCGTTTGGCAAACTCCACAATCTTAATAATGCACTTGGTGGCCAGCTCACTGAACTTGTCCCACAGCCCCAGGTCCAGCTGTACTCTGTGGTCTGCGCTAGAGTTCTGGAAGAGAAAGGATGAGAGATCAGGGATTGAAAATGCTGCCTTCTTCTCCCCACGTTGCACCTTCTGTTTGTGTTTGTGCAGATACAGGAGGGCTCGCACGCTTAGCGCAGCTTAGGAGTTTCTCCCACCAGTCAGCATCCCTTATGGCAAAGGTAAGCAGATGTCAGGCATTTAGGCAATCTAATGCTTTGTTGCTTTACTTAAGGACCCCTGAGGTCCACCAGCTTGAGCTGATATAGTGGCTTGGAAAGAGTGGTAGGCATAGGTAAAGGTGAAGGTCAAGGGACCCCTGACCATTAGGTTCAGTCGTAACCAACTCTGGGGTTGCAGTGCTCATCTCGCTTTATTGGCCGGAGTGGTACCTATTTATCTACTTGCACTTTGAGGTGCTTTCGAACTGCTAGGTTGGCAGGAGCAGGGACCGAGCAACGGGAGTTCACCCCATCGCGGGGATTCGAACCACCAACCTTCTATTCGGAAAGCCCTAGGCTCTGTGGTTTAACCCACAGCGACACCCGTGTCCCTCGTATGGTAGGCATACACTTCAACTATAGGAACATGGCATCTCAGAGTAAATCTCAGCCCAGGAATTAGTGGTCAGTATCCAAATCAAGTTCACAGGTCCTTGGTTCCCTCCTGGTTCCCTCCCCCACCCCCAAGCAACTTAATTTGGGAGCAAAAGTTTTTTAGTTATTGCTGTGGCAACCTAAGTCAGAAATTCTTGCTGATCTACTGCAAATCATCTAGAGATTCCAATCTACTTTCTGCCCACCCCTACCTACTAGGAGAAGGTGGTGCTGGAAGTGAACTAGGACCTTTTGTGTGTGTGTGTGTGTGCGTAAATCTCTCTTTGCCTCATCTCACCCCTCAGAACACCCCTTTTGGGGGACTTACATATTGCTGCATTAAGTTCCAGGGACTGAATCCCAGCTGAGCTGGATGTGGGACTTATATCAGCAGGTCTCTGGCTCAGCCAAAGTGGGCTTGCGCCGGTTTATTTTTTTATCTTCCTTACATGTTATCATGGCATCTATTTACCTCTCTCTCCCTCTCTATCTATTTTGACAAAGTAATAATCATAAATAGGTAAGAATAAAAATGTGCACCCCAACGCCGAGACCATTGTCTCTACCTATTGTAACTATCCAACCTCCCAAAATTTCAACACCTTTTTGCGATGGTTTGACCCCTTTCCGTTTTAACAGTACAAATTCTACAAACACCTTCCATATCTCCTCGAAATCATTTCTCCTGCATATTCCCCACCATATCTTAATGGCACATGTTAATTTATCATACTAGGACCTTTTCAAACCTGCAACCATCTTTAGCTCCCACCTTGAAATATGGAACCACCTTAATGTTGTTCCTACTATATATGATGGTCTTTATCTGTTCTATCTTCCTACCATTGTCTCCTCTCCCAACTGCAATTTCCCCCCTCTTTTGCAGTTTTCTTCTTCTTCTTCTTTTTAATCCTAAACCATCATAATAACAACAAAATGTGAATGGTGGCAGCACCAGTGATGTGGTGGACTTTAGGTGAAAGCATGACCAGCTGTGTATATCAACTTAACAGCAGAAGACCAATGTACCAGGACAACCTTTCTAGACCAATGTGCCATCTTTAGCCCAAATATGCATTTGGGGACCTACTTTAAAAAATTTATACCGCATAATTTGTACAGTGGAAGAGTAGCTGCTCCGACCCAGCTTAGGTCAGGCTATGGGACTCATCCATGTTCCCAACCCACCAGCTGATGACCAATAGACTATGATACCTATATACTCCAGGGAAGCTATTGACTAGATGTATTAGTTAAAAAAAAAAAAGGTTAATATCATATATATATATGGGATGCGGGTGGCGCTGTGGGTTAAACCACTGTGCCGCTTGGGTTTGCCGATCAAAAGGTCAGCGGTTCGAATCCCCACGATGGGGTGAGCTCCTGTTGCTTGGTCCCTGCTCCTGCCAACCTAGCAGTTCTAAAGCACGTCAAAGTGCAAGTAGATAAATAGGTACTGCTCCGGCGGGAAGGTAAACAGCGTTTCCGTGCACTGCTCTGGTTTCGCCAGAAGCGGCTTAGTCATGCTGGCCACATGACCCAGACAAATGCCGGCTTCCTCGGCCTGTAAAGCAAGATGAGCACCGCAACCCCAGAGTTGTTCGCGACTGGACTTAATTGTCAGGGGTCCCTTTACCTTTACCTTTACAAATATATAGCTGGGGGTGAGGGGAGTTTCCCCTTAAAACAGGAAATAATAACCCAGGGAGAACGCATTGCAAACTCAGAACAACACAGAAGACTTCATATGCAACTAAATAATACTTAGAGGAGACCCGCTAAAATAAATACAAATTAATGAATTAACATCCCACCTTTCCACCAGGGCAGAACCCAATGTGGATCACACCAGCGCAAGTAGATACATAGGTACTGCTGTGGTGGGAAGGTAAACGATGTTTCTGTGCTCTCTGGCTTCTGTCATGGTGTTCCATTGTGCCAGAAGTGGTTTAGTCATGCTGGCCACATGACCCAGAAAAGCTGTCTGCGGACAAACACAAGCTCCCTCGGCCTATAAAGTGAGATGAGCATCGCAACCCCATAGTTGCCTTTGACTGGACTTAACTGTCCAGGGGTCCTTTACCTTTTGCTTACCTAACTGAGGTAACATTGATTTCAATGGGCCTTTTACGAGTATGGTTTAGCTGAATACCATTTATCATTGTTGGTGAGGGTTACTGATATACATGCCCTCAATGTAAAGGTAAAGGGACCCCTGACCATTAGGTCCAGTCATGACCGACTCTGGGGTTGCAGCACTCATCTCGCTTTATTGGCCGAGGGAGCCGGCGTACAGCTTCCGGGTCATGTGACCAGCATGACTAAGCCGCTTCTGGCGAACCAGAGCAGTGCACGGAAACGCTGTTTACCTTCCCGCCGGAGCGGTACCTATTTATCTACTTGCACTTTGATGTGCTTTCGAACTGCTAGGTTGGCAGGGGCAGGGACCGAGCAACGGGAGCTCACCCCATCATGGGGATTCGAACCGCCAACCTTCTGATCGGCAAGCCCTAGGCTCTGTGGTATAACCCACAGCGCCACCCGCATCCCTTTCAATGTACAATGTACACAATTCAAATAAGAAATTCTACTCTGAAGAGTGAACCATTTAAATTACCCAGGTATAATATTTTCAGGGACAAGGTGTTTAAGGCCACACTTGATGCCTGCAGGCATGGACTGGGCTAGGATGTGATGTGCCCAGTGTTCCTGTCGCAGTTTGTTGTTTTCTACAGGGGACACGTATGAGCAAAAGAAGGGAGGAGAAACACGCTGCGGCTCTTACCGTTGTATATTTGCCCAGCTGGCAGAGGGAAGGGAAGGTTTCCTGGTGAGCTTTGCTGACCTTCTGGATGAGTTCTTCCAGCTCAGGTGTCATTTCGTAGCTGTCTACCACAACCTCCTCCTTCACGTCTTTTTTCTTCTTGTTGCGGTCGTTCCTCACGGCTGAAAGAGAGAGATGAGGGAAGGAAGGTGAGGAGGGAATTTCTTGGTGTGGGGAAGTTCCCATGTTCTTATGACCTGACCCCACCAAAAAATGAAATAAAAATCCCTCCATTTCCAGACGCAGAGAAGAGAGAGAGCCGTGGCGGTTAGGCCGAGGCAACATGCGTGGTGGGTTGGTGGAATCTCTGCTGAAATTGTTCGCAGACGGCACTGTGGGGACAGGGGCGCTGGCTCCCATCCAAGACGGGTCTGCCCGGTGAAATAAAAAAAATTAAGGTCTTAGATATATAATAAATGTTCATAAATGTACCAAGCAAACACGTACATAGATATGTGGACCACATGTCTGAAGCATGTTTTCTCTGCAAGGAGAGAGGGGGTGAGGGAACCTTCCCATTGTCTCAGGAATTGGGTAAGCATCATCTCAAAGGAATGGCCAGACTACCAGGAAAAGACTACCAGGAAAGGCACTATCAGATAACCTGGCAGACAGGAAAAACAACAACATTCAAATTTCTGTTGTAGACCACCTTTTCTGTGATGTAGGTATGATGTTTGTGGGGGGTGGTCTTGGGTTACACCCCTTCTGTGATGTATGTATGATGTATGGAGGGGTGGTCTTGAGCTCCAGGGCAGGGAATTTAAAATGTCTATATAAGGGCAGGCACACCTTGGTTCTGGGTCCTCCTCCTCTCCTGCATGTGAGGGGAGCGCCCTGTTGCAACAGATCAATAAAGATGAGGCTCACTAGCTGCTTTTCTTCTCAATATTATCTAGTTGGCCTCTGTTATTTTCTCCGATCGATGGAGAACCTACAAAGGACTCTATAAGGGCTCTTGTGTCCCCCATAGGGGAATAAGGGCAGATTTTTGTTTATTACCGGGGAGACACCTCACCTAGAGATCTTCTACAACACCGCCTGTGGGTGAAACTGAAGCCTCTTGCCAGCCCTCTCAGCTCATCCCCAACTCCTGGCAACCCATAGCCTCAGATGCTGTGTTTTTGCAGTGCCCTAAAGAAACATGGGGGCAGAAACTGGGCTACCAGCATCCACTGAAAACAGTTGCATGGATAGTTGCCAGCCTCTGAGGTGGTGCGTCAAGGGGTATCAAGGCGGACCACTGAGCCCAAGCTCAGGAATCTTTTGCCCAATGAAGGACTCGAATCCATGACTCTGATATTAAGAGCCTCATGTTCTACAAACTGAGCCACTCTGGACATATGTATATTGTTGTGACTGTCCTTTAGAGTGAAGGGTGTGTAAGAAATCTTTAACAACAACAACAACCACCATCAGGTGTATCTGAAGAAGTGTGCATGCACATGAAAGCTTATACCCAGAACAAACTTAGTTGGTCTCTAAGGTGCTACTGGACATATATATATATATAATTTAGATTATTTAGGTTATTTATATTTATATTTTTTTTTATTTATTATTTACTATTTACTATTTATATATTATTTATATATATGGTGGTACCTCAGGTTACATACGCTTCAGGTTACAGACTCCGCTATCCCAGAAATAGTGCTTCAGGTTAAGAACTTTGCTTCAGGATGAGAACAGAAATTGTGCTCCGGTGGCGCGGTGGCAGCAGGAGGCCCCATTAGCTAAAGTGGTGCTTCAGTTAAGAACAGTTTCAGGTTAAGAACAGACCTCCGGAACGAATTAAGTACTTAACCCGAGGTACCACTGTATTTCAACTGCATCGGACCAACATGGCTACCTACCTGAATCTGCTTTTCATGCAGACGGTCCCAGGTTCAAATCCCCAGCATCTCCCGTTAGGGCTGTGTGAGACCCCTATCTGAAACCCTGAACTGCTGCTGCCAGTCAGTGTATACAGTGCTGAGCTAGATAGACCAGTATAAGGCAGCTTTTTATTTTCCTAGGAATTGAGTGCAGCCTACCTCTATAGAGCAGGGATTCCCAAACTTGCTCCACCTGTTTTGGGACTACAATTTCCACCATCCCTGACCATTGGTCCTGCCAGCTAGGGATGATGCAAGTTGGTAGTACAAAACCATCTAGACACCCAAGTTTGGGAAACCCTGATCTAGTGTATCTGGGGAATGAATGGTAATTACCGTATTTTTCGCTCTATAGGACACACTTTTCCCCCTCCAAAAATGAATGGGAAATGTGTGTGCGTCCTATAGAGCGAATGCAGGCTTTCGCTGAAGCCTGGAGGGCGAGAGAAGTTGGTGCGCCCTGCCCCCTCTCGCTCTCCAGGCTTCAGGAAGCTATCCGCAAGCCTGGGGAGCTTGGTGGGAGTTCCCGCCGGGCTCCCCAGGCTTGCGGATAGCAGCCTGCATCCAGAAGCCTGGTTTGGAAGCTGGCGGTGGGGGAAAGCAGCGCTCCCCCCCCCCCGCCAGCCCCAAAGAGCAGGTCGAAAGGAACCCAAAGCCTCCAGAGCCCAGCGGGAACTCCCGCTGGACTCCGGAGGCTTCGGGTGAATGCACCTTGAACGCACAGAACACACCTTGACTTAGAAATTTTTTTCCCCCTGTTCTCCCCCTCCTATGGTCCGGTGCGTCCTATGGTCCGGTGCGTCCAATAGAGCGAAAAATACGGTACTTTGGGATATAAACGGATTTCACCCACTCCACAACTGTCTTGTAAAAGTCCCAAATTCCACAGAAGCAGCATGGGATTAACTTTTTGGATTCTACAGGCACTTCCCTACAAGAGAACTCATATGTGGTTTTATTAAAGGTAAAGGTAAAGGGACCCGTGACCATTAGGTCCAGTCATGGCCAACTCTGGGGTTGCGGTGCTCATCTCGCTTTATTGGCCAAGGGAGCCGGTGTACAGTTTCTGGGTCATGCGGCCAGCATGACTAAGCCGCTTCTGGTGAACCAGAGCAGCGCACAGAAACGCTGTTTACCTTCCCGCCAGAGCGATACCTATTTACCTAGTTGCACTTTGATGTGCTTTCGAACTGCTAGGTTGGCAGGAGCAGGGACTGAGCAATGGGAGCTCACCCCATCGCGGGGATTCGAACCGCCGACCTTCTGATCAGCAAGTCGCCCTCCCATCAGATGTCAAAGCGAGAAATAACTACCTGACATTTAGAAGGCATCTTAAGGCAGCCCTGTTCAGGGAAGCTTTTAATCTGTGATATTTTACTGTATTTTTTGTTTCTATGGAAGCCGCCCAGAGTGGCTGGGGGGGGGGGGGCAGCCAGATGGGCGGGGTACAAATAATAAATTATTATTATTATTATTATTATTATTATTAGTCCTAGGCTCTGTGGTTTAACCCACACCGCCACCCGCGCCCCATGTGGTTTTATTAGCTCTTTGTAAATTTTAATCTCCCTTTTGTACACCAAACCAGATTGTTTAAATAATAATTCACTCATTTATTTTTAAGGACAGTCTGGGGGACATCTCATGCTGTGGTGATTTTTAACGCATCACTGATGGAATAAGGGTTGCCAAGTTATTCCAGACCCTTAAGACTGCTTACCCTCCATTCCATCTACCTCATGGCATTCATTATCAAAAGTGGTTGAAGAGTCCATTGGCTGAAACCTTTCCTGGAAATAAGTCCCATTGAATATTTACTTCTGAGTAATGGCCCATCGTAAGATTGTGGAAGCTGGAGCAAGCTTGCTTTCTCCTGCTCTGGAGGGTAGGACTGGGACCAATGGATTCAAGTTACAAGAAACTTGACTAAACACCAGGAAAAAAACTTTCTAAGAGCTGTTCTCCCTCGGGAATTGGTGGCTCTCCTTCCTTGGGGGGCTTTTATGCAGAGGTTGGATGGCCATCTGCCAGGGATGCTTTAACTGAGATTCCTGCATTGCTGGGGGTTGGACTAGATGCCTCTAGATGTCCCAATTCTAGGCTTGCACTCACAGTCCCTCACTCTCAGTGAAGGCTGGTCCTTTAGGGGAAACTCCAGCGGGTGCAGAATGCCGCGGCGAGACTCCTTACGGGGTCCTCGCTGCGAGATCACATTCATCCGGTGCTATACCAGCTGCACTGGCTCCCGGTGGGGTACAGGATCAGGTTTAAGGTGCTGGTTTTAACCTTTAAAGCCCTATACGGCCTAGGACCCTCGTACCTATGGGACCGCCTCTCCTGGTATGTCCCACAGAGGAACTTACGGTCTTCAAACAAAAACATCCTGAAGGTCCCAGGCCACAGAGAGGTTAGGCTGGCCTCAACTAAAGCCAGGGCTTTTTTGGCTGTGGCTCCAATCTGGTGGAACGCTCTGTCACAAGAGACTAGGGCCCTGCGGGACTTGACATCTTTCCGCAGGGCCTGCAAGACAGAGCTGTTCCACCAAGCCTTTGGCCAGGGCACAGCCTGACTCCCTCCCTTGGCAATCTTCACAGAACTTTGGCCCAATGGCTGCCATCAATTTGATTTGAATTACTTTTATAATGAAATGATTTCAGAACGTTGTACTATTTTATTGTTGTTAGCCGCCCTGAGCCCGGCTTCGGCTGGGGAGGGCGGAATATATAAAAAAAAATTATTATTATTATTAATGCCCCACCAACTTCATTCTGCATTTACCCAGTCCTCAGCCTTCTTCCTTACACATCCCACAACGGAGAGCAAAGCTGCGTTGCTTGAGCAACGAGCTCCAGATGTATCCAAAAAAAGAAAACCAGAGAGACCCAGACCCAGTACCCCCTGGGCAAGGAATCTGGAGATGCCTGCGATGATTTCTCAGGAGTTTATCTTGGGCTGGCATGTGTGTGTTCAGGTGGGACGTGGGGTGGGGAGAAATTTTATCCTCTTCCCTCTCTCTCTCCAACCTAGGGGTGCCAGGAGCAGCAGCAGCACCAGTAACTCCCCCCCTCCCTCGCTTCCCCAGGCTCTGCCGGCACCCCTCCCTTTACCGAGAGTCCTGGGGTTGCGTGTGCACTCTCGCTGGCCTGAGCCTTCCCAGGCTGCCCTTCCTGTTCACCCCAGGATAAAGCGCCAGGGATCTGGGAACAGGATACGCCAATTGGCAGGATATACACTTTTAGCCACAGTCAGCACAATGCTGAAGGGGGTGGGGGGCTGCTGCCAGCCAAGCCATAGACCTCTTTGCAGCGGGGGGGGGGGGCGGCAACACACACGCAAACTGAGAACCCTACTGCCTCAAGGTATTTCCCCCCACCACCACCAACCTACTCTCCCCAGCACAAACACAAGCTTATGCCTTTGCTTTCAAGAGGCGAAAGCATATACAGTGGTACCTCGGGTTAAGTACTTAATTCGTTCCGGAGATTCGTTCTTAAGCTGAAACTGTTCTTAACCTGAGGTACCACTTTAGCTAATGGGGCCTCCTGCTGCTGCTGCGCCGCCGGAGCACGATTTCTGTTCTCATCCTGAAGCAAAGTTCTTAACCTGAAGCACTATTTCTGGGTTAGAGGAGTCTGTAACCTGAAGCGTATGTAACCTGAAGCGCATGTAACCCGAGGTACCACTGTAGGTTTAGCAGAAGTCTAGCTGTGAGGGTGAGCACCTCAACCCCCCAATTCCTTGGTTTTTCTGCAACGCCCCCCCCCCCCTTGCTTAGCACTAAATCCCATTTGAGTCTACATGGGATACTGGGAGGGAAAGGGAGGAGGGGCTGCGCTGGCCCAAATCCCTTAGGCCATCCGTTTCCTGTCTCTGTAGTGACAACCCATCGGGATAACATTCCTTCCCCAGCCAGCCAGCCAGCCATGCCCCACGCCCCTTGCCCAATCCTCTCCACCGACCGCCTCTCTCCCTTTAAAGTGACAGGCCCTCGGAAATAAATTGCCAGGTTTCGAGACATAGACATTCCTAATTAGGGGCTCTTAAAGAGACGGTGATTAATGTGAGCCCTGGCCCAGGCCAGCGCGAAGACATGCCTAAGCAGTTGGGAGTAAAAGCAACAGCCGCTGAGAGGCTCTCTGTCTCTTGGAAGGGCTGAGCAGCTGACAGGACTCTTGAAAGGGACGGCAAACTCCCCAAGCGGGGCAGTGACTAAAGTACCTCCCCCCCTCCACTGGGAGTTTTGTTTGTTTGTTTGTTCCTCTGTGGGAGTGCTCTCGGAATTATTTCCCCTCCAAGGAATACACATGGAAAACGTTTCATCAGAACAGAATATCGGCAGAGCTCTGTGTGTGCAGCCTTGAGGAGCAAGGCGGGAATAGTTGCAAACGGCAGTCTCCCGCTCACGCAGCTTTCCTGAAAAACCCACGTTGCCTTTTCAGTTCCAAGGTAAATGTTCCCCCGATGCTTTTCCTTGGGGGTGGAATGCATTGAAAAGCACCACCGTGGAAGGAAACGCAGCGGCGAAACCAGATACAGAAAGCAGATGGCTTCGCAGGAGTTTTCAGGCTGCGGGAGCCAAAGATCCCTTCAGAAGCGCTGGCCTAGGTTGTGTGCCTCCTCTTAGATGTCCCTGCGATTGTATCTTGGCAACACAGGCCAATTACAAAATTCTACATTTGATGCGCAGCAAGTAAAGTGACAAAGGCAGGCAGGAGGGACCTATGCGCAGACCACTCCTTAAAATAGCGAGGTTCCATTGGGGATGCATGCAAATATGTGCATGCACACAGATGTGAGGATGCAAGGGAAAATGTTCCTGCGTACCCATCATCTAAACGTGACATGGTCTGTGTACAAATCCGGGGGGGGGGGAGGGGAGAGAATCTGCCAATGGCTGTTGCCAACAAAAAACATAATACAGTGGTACCTTGGGTTAAGTACTTAATTCGTTCCGGAGATCCGTTCTTAACCTGAAACTGTTCTTAACCTGAAGCACCACTTTAGCTAATGGGGCCTCCTGCTGCCCCAGCGCCGCCAGAGCACAATTTCTGTTCTCATCCTGAAGCAAAGTTCTTAACCTGAAGCACTATTTCTGGGTTAGCGGAGTCTGTAACCTGAAGCGTATGTAACCTGAGGTACCACTGTATTCGAATGACTACTTCTGCGGTACATAAAACAGTAAGGCAGACATGGTCCTTGCACACACAGGCTGACAGTTTCAAAGTGTGTTACGTCTATGCCAGCGAATGGGGGCATGCATGCCACCCCATCTGAAGGGCACTGAATGGAACCTCCCTTTGCTTTCTGTTTTGTTTTACCTACTGTAATCTCATTTGCTATCATCCCTCACACACTGCCCCCCCACCCACCCCCGGGCTTAGAACAGAGCTCACCTTCTTTGGACATGCCAACCTCAAAGCACTTTTGCAGGCGGCAATACTGGCAGCGGTTGCGGGTGACCTTGTTGATCTGACAGTTCTTGTCCCGGTGGCAGGTGTAGACCATGTTTTTCTGGATGCTTCGGCGAAAGAAGCCCTAAAACATCAGAGAGAGGGAGAAAGAGGAACAGGTGACCAGGTGGGTGATGCGGAAGGAAGGCACTTAGGTAGTTCCAAGCCTCCTTTCCAAGTCTCCTTTCCCAGTGCAAATTGTGATATCCACTGCCACCTTCTCCAAAACTCGCTGCTTCAGGTAGGACCGTTTTTGAAGTTTGGAGGCTGTTTCAGATGTTGTCACTTACCAGGGTGAAACTTCAGACCTGGCTATGACAGTATGAGTTTTGAATCTTCAGATCAGGGGAGTGGCTAGTGACTTTTGGGGCATGGGTCCATAGACACAAATGTACATACAATTTGCAAATATGCACATGCCAGTTTAGACTTTAAATGGCACAGAAGGCAAACCAACTATTTCCATCCAGATCACCCCCAGGTTTAAGTCTGTCGCTTAATTTACGGCCCAAGTCAGATACCCCAAAACAGTACCTCTTTGATTCCTATTACCCCGGTTAATTTCCCAATTTATCCTGCTCCAAATCAATTCAATTCCTGTTCAGTTCCTTCCATTCCTTACACTCCAGATCATCTCCAAAAAAGGTCATCTTTGGGAGGCAAAAAGAGAACTGGCCTTTTTTGTGGTGGCTCCCCGGTTGTGGAATGCTCTCCCCAGAGAGGCTCGCCTGGCGCCATCATTACATGTCTTTAGGCACCAGGCAAAAGCATTCCTCTTTAACCAGGCCTATGGCTATTAAATAATCTATGGCCTGTGAAAGTGTGGAGAAGAGTTGACGGTTATTACGATGACTATTTTATTATTAGGCTGTCTGTCAGTGTGCTTTTTATTATGTGTTTTCATTGTATTTTTATCACTGGTGTTCTGTAATGTGTTTTTAACAATTGTACACCACCTTGGGATCTTTTGATAAAGGGTGGTATATAAATTGAATTAATAATAATAATAATAAATAATTTATGTAATATCCTACTGATAGCCCTTAATTTGATCCCTCTTTCCACTGAATTCACTACCCCACACAGGGAAACACCTGGGGCACTCAGAAAAAGATGCAAGGCCCCCTTGTTCTTTGGCCCACCTCTGACTTTTAAGTGTTAAGCAGCTGACTTGTAATGAATCAGACCTTCCGTTCTAGCCCAGGACAGTCTTCCCTACTGGCAGTAGCAGCGACAGCTTTTCCAAAATCTCAGTCAGAGGGTCTTCCACTGCCCTGCCACTTGCGATCCTTTAACAGAAGTTGCCCTTTAAAGAGCTGGCATTTTGTAAGGGGCTGGGAAGTATGTGAACCAGGAAGTTCTGAGTCCAAACATCATCTTAGGCAAGTCACTGTCTCTCCGCTCCCTCAGTATGGAGATAAAGGGCAGCAGTGGGGAACTCTTTCAGCCAGGGACCCTAGATCTTTATCTCCCACTCCGCCTGCAGGTCAGCTTTGATAGGGGAGACCACCGCCTGTCAATCATCTGCTGGCAGGTGAATGATAGGTGCACAGTAAAAGCCCAGCTGTCCAAGTTGTGGAGCAAGTCAGGTGTGGAGCAGGTGGGCATGGTTTGGAGGACACAGCCTCACACGCCAAATGAGTCAAGCAGAAACTTTTAACTATAGCTCTCAGTTCCAGCAACCAACCCTCAAAGGTTCCCAAGGTGGAAAACACACTCTCCATATGTACGGATTCAGCCTCAGCCTGACGGATGTTAACCTGATGATCTTTGAAGTAGGTGCAGAATTTTCTGCAACCAGAAACCCCCCAATTCAACAACCGGGGCACAGGAGGATGCAAGTCAGCATGCATATGCTTGTTTTGCACATTTCATCTTGCTTGCATAATCTGTTTTTTTGGGTGTTGGCATGCAGCTTCAAATTCCCTGCTGCAACATTCCTTTGGACGAGGAAAGGAGGCCTGGGTGAAGCAGCCAACCCCACCCTCCTGGTCTGAACAGATGCCTGCTTGAACTCACGATTCGGGCGAGCTGCGCTGCAAGGAGCCCCCCAGCGCAGAGGGTTAGCTGAGGTGTGCGGCAGCGTCTTGTGGGGTGGGGAATCTCCCTCCACTCACCTTGCAGCCTTCGCAGGAGCTGACCCCGTAATGATAGCCAGATGATTTGTCGTTGCAGACGAAACAAGGTTTGTAGACACGTGGGGGTGGGGGCGGAGAGGGGGAGCTGGGCACCATCTCCTCTGAACTTGTGCTCTGTGTCTCCACCGCTGCAGAAGGAAATAGGGGAGGGTCAGGCAGAAATTTGGGACACTGTACACCCAAACAGCAGTCACGAAATTAAAAGACACCTGCTTCTTGGGAGAAAAGCAATGACAAACCTAGACAGCATCTTAAAAAGCAGAGACATCACCTTGCCAACAAAGGTCCGTATAGTGAAAGCTATGGTTTTCCCAGTAGTGACATATGGAAGTGAGAGCTGGACCATAAAGAAGGCTGATCGCCGAAGAATTGATGCTTTTGAATTCTGGTGCTGGAAGAAACTCTTGCGAGTCCCATGGACTGCAAGAAGATCAAACCTATCCATTCTGAAGGAAATCAGCCCTGAGTGCTCACTGGAAGGACAGATCCTGAAGCTGAGGCTCCAATACTTTGGCCACATCATGAGAAGAGAAGACTCCCTGGGAAAGACCCTGATGTTGGGAAAGATGGAGGGCACAAGGAGAAGGGGATGACAGAGGACGAGATAGTTGGATAGTGTTCTCGAAGCTACCAGCATGAGTTTGACCAAATTGCGGGAGGCAGTGGAAGACAGGAGTGCCTGGCGTGCGCTGGTCCATGGGGTCACGAGTTGGACACGACTAAACGACTAAACAACAACAACACCCAAACTTTGGTTAAAACATATTAAAAATGACAGCCTTTCGTTTCATTTCATTTTTTAAAATTTTATCTTAAGGAAGCTTCTACGACTCAAAATTATTGTGTGGAAAGTGTGTGGGGTTGTTTGCTCACCTGATTCACACTGGGAAAGGGGAGGGCTAGGCAGGGGGGCAGGAATTGCATCTGCTTTGCCCCATAATCACAATCTCAACAAGCTAAAGGAACTTCAGAAGGCAGAACAGAGTCCAGAAAGTTTGAGGGATTATCTTAGCATCATGGAACCATCAGAGGGACAGGCATTACAAATAACACATCCAAGATTCTGAATCTATAAAGTAATTTACGAACTTTGGCTGCATTTCAACTCGCGTTAAAAATCTCTCACGCACCCTCAAAATGCTTTCTGGCACCTAAAAGACTTAACAGATTGATTGGGGCATAAGTGTTTGTGAACAGAGAGCCCATTTTATCATCAGATACAAAAATAAAATAAAAAAATCATTCATCTAGTCGTGCATCAATCATGCCTTGGTCTAGGAAAGATTATGCTATGAATAAATGTTTTCATCCATAATGAATGGTTGTTCACGATATGCTGCAATCAATCTGTTAGTCTTTAAGGTGGCACATAGGTGCCCCCCAAAATACACTGTAACACATTAAACTGGCTCCCAGCAGTGGACAGTGTGGTGCAGTGTAAACGCACGGGCAGGAGTGCTGGATTGGCTCTGCTGTCATCTGTTTCCACCACGCTGACGTCCCACACCTTTCCTTCCCACTAAGCATCAGTCAGGTAAGCGCTGCTGCCACCCCCACCATGCCACCCACTGTTGATGACCAGCCTTCTGAAATCATAAAAAGGTAAAGGGACCCCTGACCATTAGGTTCAGTCATCTCGCTTTACTGGCCGAGGGAGCCGGCGTACAGCTTCTGGGTCATGTGGCCAGCATGACTAAGCCGCTTCTGGCGAACCAGAGCAGCTCATGGAAATACCGTTTACCTTCCTGCCGGATCGGTACCGATTTATCTACTTGCACTTTGACATGCTTTCAAACTGCTAGGTTGGCAGGAGCAGGGACCGAGCAACGGGAGCTCACCCCGTCATGGGGATTTGAACCGCCGACCTTCTAAAATCCTACAGTGTTAGAAACTCAGGTATATAAGCTAGGCACCAAATGTGTAGTTGCCATTTGGGGGCAAGATGGCTCTAAAATCTTATTTTTCAAGGGATGCATTGTCTGTGATTGGTCATCAGGTAGTTCAGATGACTACCTTGAGCTAGGTTAAGAACTTTGAAACCTTAAAGAAGAAAAGTCGCTTGATATTGGCCTATTCCTATCTCTTTTTCTTAATGTTGACACAGACCATTCAGTGTAGGAATATTCTTTACAACTGTGAGCAGGGCTGTGGGATGGGGACTCAGGGGTGCCCAATTTTTTCTCAAAATTTGATGAAGTGAACATGCGTGAGGGCCAACCAAAGTTGTTGACCCTTTTTTTAGGATTGAAGTTGTTGATTTTATTTTGCAGTTGGGGGGACTTGAGGAAGAGAGAAAATTGCTTGCCGAATGACACCTCATGGCTGAAGGGGATCATACTTTATCAAGAATATGCTGGGATATATTCCTTATAATATACATGGGAGTAAGTGACTAGAGACAGGACAGTTGGGACTGGCGGTGGGGAGTCAGCCATACACTGAGCAGGCAAATGGCGTAAGTGTGCATTACTTACAGTGAAGTTGCCTGGGAAGGAGGAAACATTAAAAAGATTTAGTCCTAAACTCCCAGCCTCTTGCCCTCACCATGACCCATAACGCCTGGACAGAGTTCCTTCGGTTCAAACAGCATTTTCCACCGCCCCCCAACCCCGGCAAGCCATGAAACTGTTTGCAATTCTAGCTTTCAACACAGACTGAATTTCCTGTGACAAGACCCTAAATGCCACATTCCAGGCCAAACAGGTTGGAATTGTTACCAGAGCTGTGTAACCTAATCCCTTCCCCTGGGGGTGGGAAGAGAGGAATGACCCTGCCCAAAGGAGACATAGGTTAGAAAAGCTGGGGAGGAAATACGGGGGGGGGGGAGTTTTAGTCCACTTTCCCCTCCTGCAAAAGGTCTGTATTTAGCGTTCCCCCCCAAAAAAAATTAAGGGTGTTTCCATTTTTAGGGTGGTGAAGCCAACAGCAGATTCACAACATTCATTTAAAGCAGCCTTTCTCAACCTGTGGGTCCCTAGATGTTGCTGAACTACAGCTCCCATCATCCCTAGCAAGCAAGGCCAGAGCTCAGGGATGATGGGAGTTGGAGTCCAACAACATCTGGGAACCCACAGGTTGAGAACCGCTGAATTTTAAAGCATATCCAATGCACATTCAAAGCACATGACTTCCCCCAAAGAATCATGGGAACTGTAGTTTCCCATAGCTACAATCCCAAACACCCTTACCTACAGGATTCTTTGGAGGAAGTTATGTGCTTTGAATGTGTGTTGAATGTGCTTTAAATCATGTATAGTGTAGATCTGCTCAAATGGTGACATTCTCCTTACATGGTGAATGTGGACTCAGTCTATATGGTAACCCTGGCCATTAACCATAATAAAACGACTTGTATTACTGTATTTTTTGCCCTATAGGACGCACTTTTTCCCCTCCAAAAATGAAGGGGAAATGTGTGTGCGTCCTATGGGGCGAATGCAGGCTTTCGCTGAAGCCTGGAGAGCGAGAGGGGTCGGTGCGCACCGACCCCTCTCGCTCTCCAGGCTTCAGGAAGCTATCCGTAAGCCTTGGGAGCCCGGCAGGAGTGTCCGCCAGGCTCCCAAGGCTTGCGGGCAGCAGCCTGTTCTGGGGGCTGGGGTCGGGGGAAGCTCGGGCTTCCCCCGCCCCAGCCCCACACCTGGGGAGGGGGAAATATTTTTTTTCCCTTTATTCCCCCCCCCCCCCCAAATCTAGGTGCGCCCTATGGGCCGGTGCATCCTATAGGGCGAAAAATACGGTATACGGTAGCCCTGCTTGTAGGTTATATTCACAGCTTTTTTAAATAAAAAAGTGTTTCACAATTACGATCATTCCACCCGGGTTTAACTTAAAGTCCGGATTAGGAAGCCAGCTCCATTTTTCTTCTTTTCTAGTGCCAGTTTTGGCACTAAAGTTCACTATGAGCTGCTTCGTGGGCATCACTCAGCAGTTCCAAACCTCCAATTGATATCCCTAATGTGTTTGTTTTCTCATTCATTCACAGGACCAGGCAGAAGGTGACTTCTTACAGAAAACACATTTTAAAGCACATTGGAAGCATGTCTTCTCACCCAAAAAATCATGGGAACTGTAGATTCTTAAGGGTGATTGGAATGGTAGCTCTGTGTGGGGTAATGAAAAATTCCCAAGTTTTGGGGGGGTGCTTTCCATTGTACGCAGCCTAAAACTGGAGCAAAATGATCCCCCCAATAGATAAAGCAAGGGACGCAGGTGGCACTGTGGGTTAAACCACAGAGCCTAGGACTTGCCGATCAGAAGGTCGGCGATTCGAATCCCCGCGATGGGGTGAGCTCCCGTTGCTCAGTCCCTGCTCCTGCCAACCTAGCAGTTCAAAAGCACGTCAAAGTGCAAGTAGATAAATAGGTACCGCTCCGGTGGGAAGGTAAACGGCGTTTCCGTGCGCTGCTCTGGTTCGCCATGCTGGCCACATGACCCGGAAGCTGTACGCCGGCTTCCTCGGCCAATAAAGCGAGATGAGCGCCGCAACCCCAGGGTTGGCCACGACTGGACCGAATGGTCAGGGGTCCCTTTACCTTTAATAGATAAAGCAACAACATTGCAGCTGTCAAGTTGATCGCAGGGATGGGTTGTTCAGAAAATTTGGGTGCTTGTGCAGAGAATTCCCTGCCTACAATACAACAGGGATCACAGGAGTGAAGGGTTATAAGATTCCTCCCTCACCACCACCCCCTTCACCTTCCTGCTATCTGCAATATCTCCCAGCACAAACTCTTGTTTGCAAAAGGAAAACAGCACTTCGCAGGCCCCTCTAACCACAATAGATAAGCAGCAGATACAAACTCCATGCAGCCATCATGTCTCTTGAGCTCAGTTCTTATAAGTGACCCTGCAATAAACAAACCCAGCCTTCCCAACAAATAACCCTCTGATGAATATTCATTTCCCACAACAATAACGGCTCATTTGTGTGTTTCCTTCTCACTGCCTTCTAAATGACTCCACAACAAACAAGCTAATGCACAGCAGCCCAGAGCTAAGCAACAAAACTCATACTGTTAGCCTATGCCAGGCATCCCCAAACTCAGCCCTCCAGATGTTTTGGGACTACAATTCCCATCATCCCTGACCACTGGTCCTGTTGGCTAGGGGTGATGGGAGTCTGAAATATGCTTGTTCACATGGCCTATCCGACCTCTTTAATTCCTAAGTAGATTTAAACCCTTCAGTCCAGTGTTATTCAGCCTTAAGTCCCAGATGTTCTTGCACTACAATTCCCATCATCCCTGACCACTGGCTAAGCTGGCTGAGGAAGATGGGAGCTGGGAGTTCAACAATTCCAAAGGCTGAGGGGGAAACAGCCTTGGTACAGGGATGCAAGACAGCATCTTAAAAAGCAGAGACATCACCTTGCCAACAAAGGTCTGTATAGTTAAAGCTATGGTTTTCCCAGTAGTGATGTATGGAAGTGAAAGCTGGACCATAAAGAAGGCTGATCGCCGAAGAATTGATGCTTTTGAATTATGGTGCTGGAGGAGACTCTTGAGAGTCCCATGGACTGCAAGAAGATCAAACCTCTCCATTCTGAAGGAAATCAGCCTTGAGTGCTCACTGGAAGGACAAATCCTGAAGCTGAGGCTCCAGTACTTTGGCCACCTCATGAGAAGAGAAGACTCCCTGGAAAAGACCCTGATGTTGGGAAAGATTGAGGGCACAAGGAGAAGGGGACGACGGAGGACGAGATAGTTGGACAGTGTTCAGGTGTCTCACCTGAGGAGAGCTTTAGAGGTGCTGACAGCAGACCCTGACTCAGCATCTCCACACACACACACACACACACCCCATCAGCCAAGAAGCTGCCCAGTACAGTGGTACCTCGGCTTAAATACTTACGGTAATTCGTTCTGGAGGTCCGTTCTTAACCTGAAACTGTTCTTAACCTGAGGTACCACTTTAGCTAATGGGGGTTCCCGCTGCCACTGCGCCGCCGGAAGATGATTTCTGTTCTCATCCTGAAGCAAAGTTCTTAACCCAAGGTACTATTTCTGGGTTAGTGGAGTCTGTAACCTGAAGCATCTGTAACCCGAAGGACCACTGTATCACGTAGCCCCATGCCTAAGGACAGTTCGGAAGGCGCAGATCAGGCCAGCTGATGCCCAGCCATATCCACACTTTCAAAAGTGTTCAGGAACAAAGTAGGCCACACCAATCGGAACAAAGTGGAAATTCAGTGCTAATTAATGTTTTGTTTACATATACGCAAGGAAAAGGAAAAGGAAAAAGAGGCATGTGAGGCCCAGGTGAAATTAAGCAACATGCCAGATCTAGCCCCTAAACTGGAGATTCCCTGCCTTAGTGTTTTGTCAGCACTTGCACCGATCACCTTTTCGGTGGTGACAGCTGATTGCATCAACCAGCTGTTTGCTGTTAATGCCTAACAGCTGATCAAAAGGGTCAGTAGCTGATTGAACCCCACAGCTCCCAGTTAAGTGACGTATCTACAAGTTTCATCGTCCTTCAAGCTGATTAGATAACATGCTTCCTCTGTATTAGACTACTAGTAGCGTATAAGCCAGCATGGAGATGGTGCGTGGATGCCGCATGGAATGAATCGCATATTTTTATAGTATACATTTGTAGACACGTAAAAGTGTCAGCTGCTTTGGTCAATGTCTACCCCAAATGACTAAACTCAGAACTCAGCTACATCAGTAAAGAAACAGCTATTTGAATGTGCAATAAACATGCAACACCAGATGGCGCAAGAGAGCAGGAAATTTTTAAGCACAATTTCTCATAGAGATTGTTTTCTTTTGTTGAAATTATCTAATTTCTGACTTATTTATAACATTCTCCCCCAGCCCCCGCCCCACACCCGTGTTTAGATCCACCCACAGTGGTATTAGAAGGGACCTTCCTCTCTCCAAAGCTGTCAACAGTGAGATAGGTTGACCAATGTTAAAGACCACTATATATATAGACTGCAATGACTTATGCACAATTAATATATGTGTGCTTCTGAGTTGGTAAAAGCTGCAGGAGATGACTCTGGCCACATAATTTTCATGTGGGCAGGGACTAATAATAATAATAATAATAATTTTTATTTATACCCCGCCCTCCCCAGCCAAGGCCGGACTCAGGGCGGCTAACAAGCAATAATTAAAATAAGTTGAATGAATACAACTTAAAAACAAAATTAAAATACAACATTAAAATACTGAAACATTAAAATATTAAAATGTAGCTTCATCGCAGGAGGAGAAAGGAAAAGAAAAAAGAAAGAGGGGGAGGGAATCAAATTGACTCCAAGCCAAAGGCCAGGCGGAACAACTCTGTCTTACAGGCCCTGCGGAAAGAAATCAGTTCCTGCAGGGCCCTGGTCTCATGAGGCAGAGCGTTCCACCAGGCCGGAGCCAGTGTTGAAAAGGCCCTGGCTCTGGTTGAAGCTAATCTAATGTCTTTAGGGCCCGGGACCACTAGGGTGTTGCTATTTATGGACCTTGAGGCTCTCCGTGGGGCATACCAGGAGAGGTGGTCCCGTAGGTACGAGGGTCCTAGGCCGTGATTTTTTATACAAAATTTATATTTATATTTTTTATACAAAAACCCACCCGCAGCAGTATCTTTGTCTTGCTCCAACATGGGAATTCTGCTTTTTATAGAATCGTAGAGTCGTGTCAGAACCCAAAAGTTTCCCTTTCACAAAAGGGTTTGTATTTTCCAAGTGGGAGTTCAGCATTAAACTTAATTATGAGCAGGCCTGCATTTTGTCCAGCAATAGTTTGACATGGAGTGCTGCTCCCATGTCCTGAAGCACCTGTGTACCCAGAGAAGCCAGGATTCAGCTGCACCTTCCTAATGTGCGCAAACACGTGTGTTTTTGAAGGCGCATAACTGTTAATGCTTTGTGGGCACACTGTAGGAAATACCAGAGTAATGCCAGCGGCAAAAACAAGGTTGTTGCATAAAATGTGGAGCCACTCTTAAGATACAGCTGGGAGGGAGAGTCAGTGTCTCTGTTCTTAGCATCCCAGGGGCACCAGTATTAACAGGCTTCGTGATTCAACGTGGCACCTTCCATTTCCCCACAGGGAAATGGCTAAATAGAGTATCCATTTCAAAGCCACTTAAGTCCTTCACATAGCAGGAGTCCAGGCTGCAGGTTGTCACTGTGATAAGATTTCCAGGACTGAGCCCCTTAATAGAGACAGGGCTTTAGGGCAACTGGCAAGCTGGGAGCTCAGCCTAGACCCCCCTCAGTTTCCCATATGCCCCCTCCTCCCCACAGAAAAGTCTAATGAGTTCCTTTCTTTATTACACACCACAGCTTCTCTGTCCAACATGGCAGCTCTTAAAGGCCTCCCTATTCACTGCGCGACCAACAATGCACCATAGAGAGAGCTCTCTCCCTTATTTTACAAACCTCTGCAGCTTTCTGCTGCCTGCAAACCAAGCCACAAGCAAATGGGAGTGGGAAGCTGAGGGGCATACAAGGCTAACCCCAGCACAGCCCTTTGTTGGTCTTTGTACTTAGAGGAGGTGAAAAATGAGCCTTTTGCTTGCATTTTGGTTGGCTTGTGCTGGAGCACATCTGTGAGAGGGACCAATGTCCAGGCCTTATGTGAAATATGGCCTATTAAAAACTGGTTGCTGCTAAGGTGCCCGCATCATTCAGGTCCTTAAACGTAATTATTCAGCCCTGGGTCCCCAGGTGTTATTGGACTACAACTCCCATCGTCCCCAGCCAGCTTGGCCAATGGGCAGGGATGATGGGAGTTATAGTCCCATTGTCGTCATCTGCGGGCCTAAGATGGAAGAAGGCTGCTTTGAAAGGCCTGCACAAGTCTTCTCCCACGGCAACATCTTTGTTTCAGCTTTATGCATGTGCTTTAATTTTAATTCTTGTAGTAATCTTGAGAAGCAGATCACTCTTGTTCTTGTTCTGTCAACAGAGAACGGAGGCAGAGAGACAGGTCTCAACATTTCATTCACTGGTCCCCACAGGTATTGTCTTAGGAACCACTGTTTGTTTCTCCTTTTCAGTGATTCAGGGACTGCTTAGGTAAGGATGTTCGCTAGGCAACTGTTTCTAAGCGATGCCTCTTAAGGGATCTCTTGGGGAAGAGCTGAAGTACAATTTTAGATTGTACTTGGGTCTGACAATGCTGGGTTCATGACCCACACTCATTTCTTGCCCTTGGGAAGGCAAATCTCATGATAGCAGCAGCTGCTGCTGAGCTACAGGGCTGGGGAACTTGCGGTCCTCCAGGTGTTGCTGGACTCCATCTCCCATCATCCCTGACCATCATCAATGGTGGCTGGGGACTGGGGCTGATGGGAGCTGGAGTCTAACACAATCCGGAAGGTCATGGGTTCCCCATCCAAGGCAACAAGGTACAGATTTAAAACTGGTGAGTCGAAGGCAAGAAGTCCCACCGAACAGACTGAGGGGTCTGAAGATGGTCTAAAAGATGTATGATGCAAGCAACTCCTTTCAGAACTGAGAGTTTTAACTACTCTGCCCTTTCTCACCCTGGACAGGGTCTGTAGGGAATGTTCACTTTCCAAAAGAGAGAGATGCCACACACCATTAAGCAAGGCTCACTGGGAACAATAATGTTCTCTGGAGCTAGGTAGAAGGTGATCCTGACACACATGGGAAGAGATCTCAGTGAGTTCTTAATTTATTCCAGCACCAGGGCCTGGTTTCTGTCCATGGCTTCTGCCAGAGCCTATGAGTCACTCCTGGGAGCATGAACCTTACACTGCTTTGCTCATAGGCTCTTTTGGTGTTACTGGCATCTGTCTATTTCAAGAGTCAATGGAGTGCACCTCCAGGGGTGAAGTCAAACCACTGTGTTAGCAGCACCTAAGGAACCTCACTGATGTGGTTCAAAGCAGAGCAATACGTTTGTCACCAGCTGGGCTGCAAGAGTTGCGGAACAGAGGCATACAAGGAGCCATCCAACTGTATTAGGAACACCACTCTGGATTTGCGCAAAGGAATCCTCCTAAAGTCTTTTCTTCTCCCAAAGATGTCATGCAAGGCAGTGGAGGTTTAGGACCAGAGTTTTCCTTCTCCTGGATGGGCTACCTTCCAGGTTTAGCAGGCTGAATTCTTATGTTATTCCTACACTGCATGACTAAAAGGCAAAGAGCAGATTCACACCTTCAACATCCATCAGTCAAGAGGAATAAAGATGTCTCCTTCAGGCAGAGGCATGGTCAGAATCAGACAGGGGTCAAGATCTGAGGTGGACAGAGAGGGCTGGATAAAAAGGCCAGAAACATATGCAAGGTCAAAGTCAGGTATGCAACATGATCCTCAGCAGCTGCCAGCAATAAGAAAAGGAGTAGAATTCAGCAGCCTCAGAAGAGCAGCATGTGTCTCAGACTGAAGAGCTTCTCTAAGGCTGGAGCTTTACAGAGCTTGGTTTGTAAGGACTGGCCCTTGAGGATCAGCTGACCGGCTTTTCGGACAGTCTTGGTACTTAATACTAGGTGGCAACCTCAATGCATGGAGCCAAGTCTGCTGGACTGGCCACAGATGAAATGATGGAGTATCAATGGCAAAGCACCAGAGGTTCAAGACACAAACACCAGCGCCATACACCTTCATCCTTGGATTCCATTTCCAAACTCTGGCCTGGCACATTCTCAGCAGCAAATGTTCTCTGTTTGTAAAATGGAAGCAACTGGTCAAACTCACAGGGTTCTTGTGAGGATGGATCATGCATTAAAGAGATGTTGGAAGCACTGCAAGCTAGAGTAGCTTCCTGCTATGGCTCTTCTCCTGGTCTTGATAGAAATTTGACTATCACCCACCATTGCCACCACCAGAAAAAAAAAACCTTTTTAACCATGAGAAGGGAGGGAAACATTTAAGGTTTGCCAATTCCTGTTTATCCATTCCGCCAGATCCCCTTTTCCTGTCCTTGCAAACCTCTCCAGTGGAGTCTTCATCAGCATCAGAGAAGAAGGGACAATTAGAAGCTCATGAATTTTAACTCTCTGCATTATCCTCTTCTTTCAGATAAGACAATAGGCCTTTGGAGGCTGTTCCCTTGGCTCCAACAGTGCATGACTGGCTCCCTAGGGCCAGGAGATAGAGGCAGACAAAAGGAGGCCCTGCCAGGTGATTAGATCTCACTGGAAGGCCTTTATTTACCTGAAAACAGCCCATAAACACAGAGGGTTGTGTCTGAAAAGCTGGTGAGAATTAAGGGAGATGGATAAGAGAGGAAGAATGCCAGGTAACACAAAGAGACAAACACACACCCAGTAATGTGGAGATGTGCCATCACAGCTTTTAATTGCAAAGCTCAGAATCTATAAGTTTTGGCAAGCCCAAACTCCTGGAATTCCATGAACTACAGCAGAGCATTCTTTCTTATATCAGGAAGACATAATGTGGTGGTGGGTATATTTTATTAGATTAAGTCCAGTAGCATGCAAAGCATTTGTGCTTCACAGGACTCTTCATCAGCCAGACTAGAAAGACAAAGTTCTAGTTACGGGTCTGTTGAAACAAAATAAATTAAAAAATTCTTCCAGTAGCACCTTAGAGACCAACTAAGTTTGTTATTGGAATGAGCTTTCGTGTGCATGCAGTGTATGTGAATAAGTATCTGAAGAAGTGTGCATGCTTTCATGTGCATGCACACTTCTTCAAATAGCTTATACCAAGAACAAACTTAGTTGGTCTCTAAGGTGCTACTGGACAATTTTTTTATTTTTCTATATATTTTGACTGTGTCAGACCAACCTGAATCTAGAACTGTAGCAATAATTCCGTAAGTGAAATACAGTTGCCAACAGTTTGCTGGCCCCTGCTAATATACCTTAAACTAAATCAAAAGATAGAAACTTCTACTTTGCAGAGATAAATATTAACTCATGCTAAAGTCTGCAAATCCATCTCCTACTGAAGGGACCAATAAATGACTTGGCAACCATAAAGTGAAGTGATTCTGTTCCAAAGCAACTAACAGTCAAAGCAAGCTGTGGGGTTTCAGAGACCTCTTCTTCAAGCACACATGTTCAAAGGGGGGGGGGGGATTAAACTAAAATATTATTCAAAATAAAGTTGATCAATTTAACTTGATAGGCTATCTCCGCAATTCACTTACTTATTTCTTAAATATATTGTTTAATATAATAAAAACTTCTAAGTGACTTACAATAAAAAGAACCATATGGAAAAATGAAAAAAAAATAGTTAAAGTTTCCTTAAAAACTGGATGAAAAGAAGATAAAAACACAACTGTTTATCACAAATAAAACAGAGCAACCCAAAAAAATAAAAATTCAAGTGGCAGAGTCCAGGAAACTTGGTTATATAGTGGTACCCCGGGTTACATACGCTTCAGGTTACAGACTCCGCTAACCCAGTAGTACCTCGGGTTAAGAACTTTGCTTCAGGATGAGAACCGAAATCGTGCTCCGGCGGTGCAGCAGCAGCAGGAGGCCCTTTTAGCTAAAGTGGTGCTTCAGGTTAAGAACAGTTTCAGGTTAAGAACGGACCTCCAGAACGAATTAAGTGCGTAACCAGAGGTACCACTGTATAAGCTTTTTTAATGCATTGGAAGGTTATTATTGTTTTTACCCTGCATTCAGAGGATGGCTTCTATAATCAAAAATGCCCACTTCTACACTGTCACCAAGTGAAATTCAGCTGGTCATTTTGCAATAGCTGCAGCTTCTGAACCATGTGTACAATACACTAAAAAGGTAAAGGTAAATGACTCCTGACAGTTTAGTCCAGTCGCAAAGGACTCTGGGGTTGTGGCTCTCATCTCGCTTTACTGGCCGAGGGAGCCAACGTTTGTCCACAGACACTTTTTCTGGGTCATGTGGCCAGCATGACTAAGCCGCTTCTGGAGAAACCAGAGCAGCGCACGGAAACGCCGTTTACCTTCCCGCAGGAGCGGTACCTATTTATCTACTTGCACTTTGACGTGCTTTCGAACTGCTAGGTTGGCAGGAGCTGGGACCGAGCAACGGGAGCTCACCCCGTCGCGGGGATTTGAACTGCTGACCTTCCGACCAGCAAGCCCTAGGCTCAGTGGTTTAGACCACAGTGCCACCCGTGTCCCTTGTGTACAGTCCATTACAGTACCCTAATTTTCTGCACAGTTACTAAAGGTGCAAGAGAGCCCTGCCCTGTCTTGCACCTACCCAACCTAGAACCCAGGGACCCGCTGCTAGGCAAAGGAGATACAGTGGTACCTCGGGTTACATACGCTTCAGGTTACATATGCTTTAGGTTACAGACTCTGCTAACACAGAAATAGTGCTTCAGGTTAAGAACTTTGCTTCAGGATGAGAACAGAAATCATGCTCCGGCAGCGCAGCAGCAGCAGGAGCCCCTATTAGCTAAAGTGGTGCTTCAGGTTAAGAACAGTTTCAGGTTAAGTACCACTGTAGATGAATGATGGGTTAGAAGGACAACCTGTTCTGAGGTGGTATAAGGCATGTGGCTGCGTCTTGCAGGAGAAGACTTATTACTGTGAGCAAACTTGGCTTTCACAGAAGCTTGTCTGTTGTCACCAATCTTGTCATGAACAAAGCTCTAGAGAAGCATTCAAGGAACCCCAGGAGTTTGCTTCTGTGGACCAGAGAAGCAAGCTTTGGAAAATGGCCTCCAATTGCCCCCACACCATCAGAACTGGGAAGGAGCAAAAAAAAGTCCCTTCCCTGTGCAGTTTTGCAGAGGATGTTTCAGAGCCAGAGTACAGACTTGTTTCCCTGGATTCCCCAATTGCATTTGACAGCTCCCGCCTTGTTTGCCCGGAGTCACACAGCGTGAAGTATGGAAGGAGCCCAGGGTGGCAAAGGGACCACAGCCAAGGCCACCCAGAGCTCCCTGCCTAGCCGCCGGGCTTTTTGAGGCATCGTTAAGCGAGATAAAGAGTGTGTTCTGCAACAGGTGGGAGCAGAGGGCAGGAAATAAATTCCGCAGCAGGACAGGGCTCTCCCGCCTCCATGAACGGGGGAAAGAGCAGGCCTGGCCATAAATCGCCCCCGTGCTGACAGCAATCTGATGCTCCAACAGAGGGAACAAACCCAAACACATTCCCAGAGGGCAGAAGGCCAATGCACCTTCACGGAGGCGGAACAAGCGGCATGAAATATGGTGGCTGGCCCATGGGAGTGGACGTCTGTGTCCAGTCCTTGTCCTCTGGGGAACAAATGAGAGCAGGAAATCCTAATACGCAGCCCAGCAGGAACTCAAGAGGCAGAATATTAATCATAATTCCACATACTTCCATAGCCAGCTGATTGCATAAAATGCCTCTCAAAGCTAGAATCATTCTTTGGTTCTTCATAATCAGGTGGTAGAATTTTGGGTCGTATCACTGCAGGGGCAGCCATGTTTTTTAAAAACATTACTCATTTAAAACACAGGGAGACATACACACACACAAAACCTCCAAGCATGCAGTCAACTAGCACATGGGGTGGGGGGGACATTTAGCATACCCCTATAAAGGGGATTTCTTTTAGGGGGGATGTTAAAAAGTATTACCATCCTTTTGGCAGGAACTGGCAGTCTTAAGTGGCACAGTCCAGAATTCTGCCACCTTGTTCTTTATAATATGTGGGTCAGTTCCACGCTCCGTTCATCTTCACAACCCTTTGAAGTCAGTAATAAAAATGGCATTTTACAGGCAAGGAATCCCGATTACAATTTCAAACATGCAACAACAAAATAAAATAAAACAAACCATCCAGATGCAAAGTAGATCTGTCTCTCCAAGTGCGTTTTACTAGGTCTTAATAAAAAAAACCCATGGTTTATCTGTTCTGTGTTCTCTTATGAAATCACATGCATATTCTTGTACTGAAATATGGACTGGGCATGAAAACGTGAGATGGACCATCTGCCCTGAAGCTGAGGGATTAGAAAGAGAAAGTTACCATATACTAGAGGAGACTGGCTATACCCACACCATACATTTAGTACAGTGGACGCTCGGGTTGCGAACGTGATCCGTGTGGGAGGCACGTTCGCAACCTGCAGCGTTGTGTCTGCGCATGTCGTGATTTGGCACTTCGGTGCATGCGCAAAGCGCGATTTAATGCTTCTGCACATGTGCAAACGCCAAAACCCGAAAGTAACCCGTTACGGTACTTCTGGGTTTGGAGTGGTGCGCAACCCAAAAATGCACAACCTGAAGCGTCTGTAACCCAAGGTATGACTGTACATCCTGTATACAGTGCTACCTCGGGTTAAGAACTTAATTCTTTCCGGAGGTCCGTTCTTAACCTGAAACTGTTCTGAGGTACCACTTTAGCTAATGGGGCCTCCCGCTGCCGCCATGCAATTTCTGTTCTCAACCTGAAGCAAAGTTCTTAAACCAAGGTACTATTTCTGGGTTAGCGAAGTCTGTAACCTGAAGTGTCTGTAACCCGAGGTACCACTGTACTGTACATCCTGGGAATCGTAGTTTCCCCCTCACACAGAGATACAATTCCCAGCACCCTTAACAAACTCTAGGAGGTCTTCCCCACCACCTGCTACCTGATCTTTTTGAATGGAGAGGCCAAGTTTTAACTTGGAGCCTTTTCTAATGTTGTTGGACTGGATAGCTCAGTTGGTTAGAGCGTGGTGCTGGCAATGCCAAGGTTGCAGGTTCAATCCCCATATGCGACAGCTACATATTCGTGCATTGCAGGGAGTTGGACTAGAAGGATCCTCAGGGTCCCTTCCGACTTTACAATTCGATGACTCTTAACTCACACCAGCTTCCAATGGCCTGGAACTGTACTTCAACAACATTGCCTGCCTCTGTTCTACATGCAAGGCATGTGTCCTAAAGCTGAGCTACAACCCCTCTCCTACAGAGAGTCAGGTCCGGATTAAACTCTTGCACCAAACAACCTGCAGTGCAGGGTCTGCTCTGCGCTAATTATCTGGATTCTAGAATCCAGAATTTATCAGTGTAAAAACCAGCCCCACACAGACCTTTCAAGGAAGTTAGCAAGCAAAGGATGACGACAAAACAGCCAACTACTGCTGTCTGTCCCCAGCAATGTAGCACTACCATTATTAACACACACCCACACACACACACCCACGAGTGTCATGTGAAAGATCTAAATCTTTCTCAACTCTTCCCAGTGTGAAAGCTGAAAATACAGAGAAAAGTCTGAAAAGGGGGTGGGTGGAAAGTGTCTTTTCTGCCCCCTCCTCCCAACAGCAACCTCCGCCTCCCACCCTGGAGCTTCCCAAAGCAACTCTCCTCAGGGTCCAGGGACTCTGCTGAATAGGGTGAGCTGGGAGGAGGCACAGGAGCTGGGAGGAGAAGGCTTCCGGAAGATGAACTGAAGGCATCTTCCATCAGCAAGAGTGCCTTCCTGCCAACTCTTCTCTCAGTCCATCCGACAATAATAATATATTATTTATGCCCTGCCCATCTGGCTGGGCTTCCCCAGCCACTCTGGGCAGCTTTCAACAAAATATTAAAATACAGTAATGCATCAAACATTAAAAGCTTCCCTAAACAGGGCTGCCTTCAGATGTCTTCTAAAAGTCCGGTAGTTGTTGTTCTCTTTGACATCTGGTGGGAGGGCGGTCCACAGGGCAGGTGCCACTACCAAGAAGGCCCTCTGCCTGGTTCTCTGTAACTTGGCTTCTCGCAGCGAGGGAACCGCAGGAAGGCCCTTGACGCTGGACCTCAGTTTCCGGGCAGAACGATGGGGGTGGAGACACTCCTTCAGATATACTGGACCGAGGCCGTTTGGGTCTTTAAAGGTCAGCACCAATACTTTGAATTGTGCTCAGAAACCCTATAAGTTACTGTGTTTTGGATCAAATTGAAGATTTGTACTTATTTTGCATCAGTAACTTTTTAAAGGACTGCTTCACCATAGCTGCTTTCCGTACAACTTATTCATTCATTCAAAGGCAGAGCGAAACCGAAAACTTCCACCCCAAATAGCTCTTGCTGGGTAGAGGCTTCAACAGAGTGTCTCCTGCTGGGATTCATTACAAAATGCAAGTTCTCCTCTTCCTTTCTTCCCAGGGTGTGTGTGTGTGCGGGGTGTGTGTGTGTGTTCTTTTATCAGCTCACTGATGGCCACAGTTTGCAGAGGAATGGGTCTTGGTTACAGACAAGAATGTGAAGTTCTCTGGACACCAGTTTAGCAAGATTTGCCGCCAGGAGGAAAATCCCCCAAAAGCAAGCACACCACTCTACAGGGGTACCTCGGCTTAAGAACTTAATTCGTCCCGGAGGTCCATCCTTAACCTGAAACTGTTCTTAACCTGAAGCACCACTTTAGCTAATGGGGCCTCCAGCTGCTGCCGCGCCGCCAGAGCACGATTTCTGTTCTCCTCCTGAAGCAAAGTTCTTAACCTGAGGTACTATTTCTGGGTTAGCGGAGTCTGTAACCTGAAGCGTATGTAACCTGAGGTGTATGTAACCCGAGGTACCACTGTATTTATTTATTTGCAGGATTAAAGGGGGAGGGGACTCTTTCCACACAGGCTCACAAGGCAATGTACACAATAATAAAGTAATCTAACTGAAACAGTTGTCAACAGGTGTGCAGCTAATAAAAAAACACTAAAGGCAGCAATCAAACAACCTTCAGGTCTATAGCAGCTAAAAGACAAAAAGGACTTAAGGCACTGTGGAGATTTAAGGGCCAGTTTCACACCTTACGTCTGCAACCCAACTGCTGCGCTCCCCACATGGCTGACTCCCCATATGGAACCAGTAAAGGTAAATGTAAAGGGACCCCTGACCATTAGGTCCAGTCGTGGCCGACTCTGGGGTTGCGGTGTTCATCTCGCTTTATTGGCCGAGGGAGCCGGCGTACAGCTTCCGGGTCATGTGGCCAGCATGACGAAGCCGCTTCTGGCAAACCAGAGCAGAGCATGGAAATGCCGTTTACCTTCCCACCAGAGCGGTACCAATTTATCTACTTGCACTTTGATGTCTGCTTGGTTGGCAGGAGCAGGGACTGAGTAGCGGGAGCTCACCTCGTCGCAGGGATTCGAAACGCTGACCTTCTGATTGGCAAGTCCTAGGCTCTGTGGTTTAACCCACAGCACCACCCATATCCCTTATGGCACCAGTACCATGTACAAATTTCACATCATGCATCATGCCCACTGCATGTGAATTTTCCCATGTCGGAAGTAGTGACCTGATGCAAATATGGTGCTAGGGTGGAAAGGAATAATGCAATCCACAGCTATTTAGATGTTACTCTCTTGGCAAGAGGGGGACGAGCAAGACTGGATTACTGCAATGTGCTCTATGTGGGGCTTCCCTTGCACCTGATCCGGAAATTGAGGTTAGCCGTGCAGAACGCTGCCACACGACTGCTGACGGGAGTGAGGCCTTGTCAGCATATACCGTATTTTTCGCACCATTGGACGCACATTTTCCCCTCCAAAAATGAAGGGGAAATGTGTGTGCGTCCTATGGGGCGAATGCAGGCTTTCGCTGAAGCCTGGAGAGCGAGAGGGGTCAGTGCGCACCGACCCCTCTCGCTCTCCAGGCTTCAGGAGCTCTGCGCAACCCTCGGGAGACCGACTCCGAGGGCTGCGCAGAGCTGCCTGCAGTCCCGGGCTCAGCGCAGCTCTGCGCGGCCACCAGGAGCCGGGCGCGAAGTCCCGCCCAGCTCCGGATGGCGGCGCAGAGCTGCCTGCCGTCCCCGGCTCAGCGCAGCTCTGCGCGGCCACCGGGAGCCGGGCGCGAAGTCCCGCCCCGCTCCGGATGGCGGCGCAGAGCTGCCTGCCGTCCCTGGCTCAGTGCAGCTCTGCGCGGCCACCGGGAGCCGGGCGCGAAGTCCCGCCCCGCTCCGGATGGCGGCGCAGAGCTGCCTGCCGTCCCCGGCTCAGCGCAGCTCTGCGCGGCCACCGGGAGCCGGGCGCGAAGTCCCGCCCCACTCCGGATGGCCGCGCAGAGCTGCCTGCCGTCCCCGGCTCAGCGCAGCTCTGCGCGGCCACCGGGAGCCGGGCGCGAAGTCCCGCCCCGCTCCCGATGGCCGCGCAGAGCTGCCTGCAGTCCCAGGATCAGCGCACTTCTCCCCATCGCCAGCCCCACAAGCTCGGGGGACAGCGGGGAGGCAGAGCGCTCCTTCCCGCTGTTCCCCGACCTAGTTCTTCCAGCCCCGCACCTGGGGGGGAAATAAAAATATTTTTCTTTATTTCCCCCCCAAAAAACTAGGTGCGCCCTATGGGCTGGAGCGTCCTATGGCGCGAAAAATACGGTAATACCTGTGCTGAGAGATCTGCCCTGGTTGCCAATTTGCTACCGGGTCAAGTTCAAAGTGTAATAAACTATGCGGCAAAGAATTCATTTCACCTGGAATTTTCCAAATGTATCACATCTGGTAATTAATGTACAGCTCACCCAAGTTGGCATTTTTGAAACAGGGAAAATGAAACCCAGGGATATCACATGCCCATGATCACACAGGACAATACAATGGAAGGTGACAGTTGTGTGTGTGTGTGTGTGTGTGTGTGTGTGTGTGTTTCTGACTCACTTCAATCTGCTACAGCTCTTTGTTTAACAACTTTTCCCTATAGTCATTGGGTTAATGAGGAAGTGCAAAGGGATGCACATGGAAGCAAGACAGCCCGGGGTTGTGGTAAACAGCTCCATAAAAGCACTGACCCCACTGTGCAGTTGCTGTGAAAAAGGTGAGCTCCATGTTATGGAAGATTAGGAAACAGATCAAAAATAATGCTGCCAGTTATTGTAATGCCTTTATACAAATCTATGGTGCAGCTGCACTTTTGATATACTATGGACAGTTCTTCTCAAAGAGGAGCTGGAAATGGTACAAGACAGAGCAATTAAAATGGACCTGGAACAGGTACAACATTTGGGGCTTTTTAGTTTAGCAAAAAGGCAATTTGGTTTCATAGGGCATGAAAGAGGTGTGCAAAATTAAGCATGGTGTGTGTATAACGTAGACAGAGATACAGTGGTACCTCAGGTTACATACGCTTCAGGTTACACACTCCGCTAACCCAGAAATAGTGTTTCAGGTTAAGAACTTTGCTTCAGGATAAGAACAGAAATTGGGCTCCGGCGGCGCGGCAGCAGCAGGAGGCCCCATTAGCTAAAGTGGTGCTTCAGGTTAAGAACAGTTTCAGGTTAAGAACGGACCTCCGAAACGAATTAAGTACTTAACCTGAGGTACCACTGTACAGCTTTCTCCCTCTTTGATTATACTAAAGGAAATAAAGGAGAATGCTGGGAGATTCAGGACAGACAAAACGAAGTAACTACTTCGCACGGTACATGGTTAACTTCTTATGGTATTCACTACCACAGATTTAGCAAAAGGGCATTAGGCAGATTCATGGAATATACCGCTATCAAATGGCTTTGAGTTGTGATGGATACAGACTACCTCTAAGGATCAGAGGCAGTGTGCCTCTGAAGACTAGTTTCTGGGGAACGCAAGCAAAACTGTGTGCTATTGTGCTCTTATCTTTTTATTATTATTATTATTGGATTTTTAACAATTACAAAGAAAGCATATATTAAATATTACATCCAGATATTCAAAACTTATAAGAAAAAAGTCAAAAAGAGAAAAGGGGGAAAAACTAAATTATTAAAGAAAATAAGGGGGGGGGAGACAAAACAAAAAAAATAAAATAAAAAGCAAAAAAAGAAATTGCACCAAGTACACTAAATTTTTCAAACGATACCAACAGTGATTTGTTTATACTATACGCCAAGTTCCCAGAAATAAATTACATTTGTACTCCTTCTTTTCTTTCTTTCTTTGTAGTTACTTTCTTTCTGTTCTGGATATTTTTTTGAATCCCTTCTATGTTCGTTGATTTCCACTATCTCTTTGCGGTTTCAATACTTTCCTTAAGTAGTAAGTTCTGTATTCTGTGTTCTGTACTCATTTATTAATCACAGTTTTCCTGTATATCTGTGAAATTAATCTAAGCACATCCAAGTATTATTTTTGGAACCATATTTTATCAGGTAGTTTTTGAAGCAACCCCATTCCTTTTTTGGGAATGGGAAAGGAAAGAGGGGAGAAAAAGCTATTGTGCTCCTATCATGCTTGTGGGAACCATCTGGTTGTCCACTGTGGAAAGAGACCGCAGGGCCTTTGGTGTGTGATGCTACAGTGTTCTTTACAGCAAGATCAAAAATTGAAGAGGAAGTTCTTCAAGCTCGTGTGCAGACAATACAGTGGTACCTCGGGTTAAGTACTTAATTCGTTCCGGAGGTCTGTTCTTAACCTGAAACTGTTCTTAACCTAAAGCACCACTTTAGCTAATGGGGCCTCCCGCTGCTGCCGCACTGCTGGAGCACGATTTCTGTTCTCATCCTGAAGCAAAGTTCTTAACCTGAGGTACTATTTCTGGGTTTGCGGAGTCTGTAACCTGAAGCGTATGTAACCCGCAGTACCGCTGTATGCTTAGGGTCAATGAGAGAAGAAAAGAGCGAAACAAAATAAAATAAAAATAAAGTAAGAACTCTTCCACCAGACTTCGAAACGGTCCCCTATCACTTAACAACAGAGGTGAGGAATGCTCAGCATTCTGACCCAATAAAATATCAGAGCTAAGGAGAATGGAGGCCTCCTATAGCAATTGGCTTTAGTTTACAGCAGCCCATCCCACACTTGGGAAGTAACCCAGCAAGATCCTGATTGTATTCCTACAGTGGAAAATAGAACCCAGGAGATCTAGGTCACATCCCCCCTTCCAGGTACACAAAGATCTCCAGATGATGACTCTTGTGCTAATCTCTGTCAGTGGCTGACTGCTCTTCTTCTGGCAGACCCTCTTAATTTTCATCCCAGCCTTCAGACCCCCAAGGCACTGGATCTTCCCAAAAGTCCCCTTCAGTTCATCCATGTCTTTCTAGGATCCTTCTTGCATGACTCTGCCACTCAAGGTTCCAGATTCTGTGCCTTCAGCCCTAGCTGGAGAGGGTGAGGAGAGAGAGAGGTGATACCCTATTTGTACTCTAAGCATCAGAAACCACTGGCAAACTTTAACATAAGGCTCCTTCAAGGCTCTTGTCAGGCCAAGCTGTTATCAGGCCTGTCATTTCCTGGAGAGAATCACATTTTAGCCCCAACTTATTCTTCTCTAAATAGCTTCTGTACACACCCAAATAACTGCCTGGAGCCACACAAAGGGGGGAAGAGGGGGGAAGAAGAAGAGGACTGCCTGTCTCCGGGTGTGTTTACAAACCATCCAATATCCACAGCAGGGCTCAGCTACCAACAGATGCCGAAATGGTGAAAGAGGGGAGATGTGTGCAGAGATACAGAACCTGACAAGCCAGATTCAAAGGGGATAGGGGATATCTGAGCCTCTGCATCTGCAGGGGACAGAAGCAGCAATGTGAAGGATGAAGCTGCGACTGCCCCCATCATGCTGCCCTCTTGTGCAACGTAAACAAAATCACCCTCCTGCACTCTGTAACGTAACCATTGTGCCCTACTTCCTGGCATTCACATAGACACTTGTGTGCTTCACTTGCAAAGCATTCATGGAGTTTTGCAAATCGGTTGTGGCTTTAGAGTAGCCGCAGCAATGTTTTTGACATGTGTTTGGGTTTGTTTTCTAAATGCACAATACACTCCCTTGTCTAACCCAGGTTGTTTCCTCCTAACTCAGCAAGGTGTGCCAACTCCTCCCCATACTACAAGAGGCAGCGGGCCACAGTGAGACAGCCAACTAGACACAGCCTTTGGGTGTCCTCAGAAAGCAGGCACAGGTCAGGAGCAATGGTAGGAAATGTTCGGTGATTAACCTCACAAGAGTCCTGATGGATCAGGCAAAAGGCCTGTCTTGTCCAGCATTCTGTTCCCACAGTGGCTAACCAGAGGCTTATTATGGGACGAAAACAAGAAGGAAGCCCCCAGCAAAAGTCATTGCTCACTGTTGTTTGTCAGCTACTGATATTCAGAGGAAATTCCTAGTTACTGCGGCTAGCAGAATAGTGGTAGCCTTGTCCTCCATGAAATGGGGGTGAATCTATTTATTTGTTAAAAATATTTGAATACCACTATTCATTTCTTTTTTTAAAAAAAAAAGCAGTTTGCAACAAATATACATATAGAGATTTTTTTAAAAAAATTGAAAACTTAAAATTAGAGATCAACTAACTATTACAGAAAGGGACGTGGGTGGCGCTGTGGGTTAAACCACAGAGCCTAGGACTTGCCGATCAGAAGGTCAGCGGTTCGAATCCCCGCGACAGGGTGAGCTCCTGTTGTTCGGTCCCAGCTCCTGCCCACCTAGCAGTTCGAGAGCACGTCAAGTACAAGTAGATAAGTAGGTACTGCTCTGGTGGGAAGGTAAATGGCGTTTCCGTGCGCTGCTCTGGTTCGCCAGAAGCGGCTTCGTCATGCTGGCCACATGACCTAGAAAGCTGTACGCTGGTCCATCGGCCCATAGAGCAAGATGAGCACCGCAACCCCAGAGTCGTCCACAACCGGACCTGATGGTCAGGGGTACCTTTACCTTTAACCATTGCAGACAGGTATTTTCTTAACTGCCTGCATACGTTTGGTGGTTTTCAGTGGATGCTTGAAAATTGAAACAGGAGACGGCTTCTGAATCTCTACTGGAAGAGCATTCATGCTCTACGCGGGGCTGCCCTTGAAGCTGTCCCAGAAACTCCAGCGCGTGCAGAATGCTGCAGCGAGGTTCCTCACATGGTCTCTGCCATGGGAGCATATTCACCCAGTGCTTTTCCAGCTGCATTGGCTCCCAGTGGAGTACAGGGTCAGATTTAAGGTGCTGGTTTTGACTTTTAAAGCCCTTCACGGCCTAGGACCCTCATACCTACGGGACCGCCTTTCCTGGTATGCCCCACGGAGGACCTTAAGGTCCATATATAGCAACACCCTAGAGGTCCCGGGCCCTAAGGAAGTTAGATTAGCCTCAGCCAGAGCCAGGGCCTTCTCAACACTGGCTCCGGCCTGATGGAACGCTCTGTCTCATGAGACCAGGGCCCTGCGGGATCTGATCTCTTTCCGCAGCGCCTATAAGACAGAGTTGTTCCACCTGGCCTTTGGCTCAGAATCAGTTTGATTCCCTCCCCCTCTTTCTTTTTCCTTTCTCCTCCTATGAAGAGATTGCTCCCTAATTGTTTTAATGTTGTATCTTAATCTTTTAAATTGTATTTTAATCAACTTGTTTTTATTATTGGTTGTTAGCCACCCTGAGCCCGGTCTTGGCTAGGGAGGGCAGGGTTTAAATAAATTATTATTATTATTATTATTATTATTATTATTAGGACTACCATCCACCCCCAAAGGGGCATATCACTCACTAGGGCTAGATTCCCCCTCTCAGCTCCAGGCTTCCCCCTCTCAATTTCCACTACTAGACTGATGCATGCAGATCCAGGATGGCGAATAGACTCACGGACTCATAATCTGCGCTTCCTTCCACTACCTCTCTTTTCGGACGGAAAGGAAGATCTCTGCACAACAGAGGTTTCAATTATTTACTCAGAATACATGTGCAAAAAAATGCATGATTGTATAAATAAAAAACTCTCATCCAACTTGTGTATATAAAAATGGAAATGAAAACTGTACAAAAGTGCAACCAGCTTATACAATACAAAAACCAAAAACGGATTGCTCAGATTCTATCAGACAAGGCCATTAGGATGTTCCTCATAGTATTACTGGGTAGGACAAAGCAGCATAAATCATACCACAAAAGTGGCACCGTATTCCCGTATTCACAAACGTATACTGCATAATAAAATGTAAATGCATAATAAATGCTGGTACTTTCTTGTGATGGCTGAAAGAATGAGAGGAATGGTCTGAGGAATGGGGAGGTGAGCAGAGCTCAAGTTCGGGTTCTGCAAAGGAGTTTAGTTCTCCCACCCCCAACCCTGTTAAGAGGCATTTGCCTTGAAACAAGCTGGAACTCCTCCGAGCTTTGTGAAGAAACCATCACATAAAATACTCGCTTTTCAGCTGGATTCCTTTCAACGCTTTGGAACTGCACATGTTTAGATCTTTTAGGCTAACTATGAAAGCTAGAATTTAAAAATGAAACGAGAAAAGCTTTGTTCTTCTGGGACAGAAAAGCAGAGAAGAGAAGAGAAGAAGAGACAGAGAGACAGACGAAAGAAAGAAAGAAAGAAAGAAAGAAAGAAAGAAAGAAAGAAAGAGAGAGAGAAAGAGAGAAAGAGAAAGAGAGAGAGAAAGAGAAATAGAGAGAGGAAGGAAGGAAGGAAGGAAGGAAGGAAGGAAGGAAGGAAGGTAGGTGAATCTTCAGGAGCAGGGACAGAGCAGAGAATTAACCCAGGGGCTCTGTGGATAGCACAATGTGGCGAATCTCCAATCACACAATCACTAGACCCAATATTTCCTTGTACCCACACCAGGTGACTTTTAAACCAGGCTCTGGGTAATGGGTAAGGGAACCTGTGTCCCTCCAGATGTGATTCAGCTTCTAAGTCCAATCATTACTGACTGCGTTGGCTGTGTTGTCTGGTGTGGATGAGCGATGGGACTCCAATCACATCTGGAGGGTCACAGCTTCCACACACACTCTCTCTTTTAGGTTTTCCATGTGTCGCTAGACGATTCCTTTTTTTAAAAAAAAGCCAAAAAGAAGCGACCAGAGTTTAAGCCTTTAAAGCTCTGGAATTTTACTTATATATTGAAATCGGATTTCTTTAAAAAGAAAAAAATAGAATGTTTTAGATTACTGCATGGTATATATTGTTATGATGGCACAGGCTAAATATCATTAAGCATGAAATTGGTGGGGAGGAATCTCAAAATTTATTATTCTGGAAATTATTATTCCATGCACGGAGGCCAAAGAATTAGAAATATAGCTGGTGTAGTTATGTTAACACCACTGATAGCTGCTCCTACGCAGGAATGAAGGTTATAGTGAGAGGGACAGACAGCAATATGGGGCACAGCAAAGCATGCATGCCCACATCTGCTCAACCTGGTGCCCTCCAGATGTTTTGGATGACAACTCAAATCAGACCACAACCAGCACAGCACCAGGCTGAAGAAGGGCTGTGCCAGAGAATCTGAGTTAAGAAACAATAGCAGCCTCGTCCAAAACTCTCCTCCCGCAGGGCACTCGTCCATAGGGTAGGGCAGCTTCACACAGACATGCCTATCCTGGGTGGGATTCAGAAAAGGAGAGGTGCTTTTTGTGCATACAGACACAGGCACTAACAAACCACACACACATTTACGCTAATGGACTGCCTGGATGGATGTCCTTTCCTAAAGCAGCTATCATGGCATGCAGGTGAACAAGACCTTGTTCTATCCAAGCCAAAGTAAGCATGGTTTATTCCAAAGCAGGGGCCCTCCTTGCGGTTCATGTTTTTTAAAACAGAGCATGCCAAGTTTGCAATCCTGAGTGTTGCTCTGAGCAGTTCTGGGTCCTTTTATCTGTTGATGAATCTCTTACAAATCAATTCACCGGCAGCCGCTAAGCAGCCAGCGAGGAAGCAAGCGAAGGGACGGGACAGAATCTGGAGCAGCCTCTTACAGATGCCATCAGCAGCTGCAGAGCACTTTTAGCTCCACAAATCTGGGAGACATTCACCACCACCACCATCCCCCACCACTCCTCTTTTGTTTCATCGGCCAGGAAGGCCACCAACCCTTAGACCAACCCCTGCACAAAGCCAGTGGTACATCTACACTGGCCAACTCAGGGTCCCTGCGGTTCCTGCCCTTCCTCGCCCCCCTCCCTGCTTAATCCGGCTTGAGGAGTAGGGGTTGTTGGAGGGCTTTAAAAGCCTAAATTGCTGAAATTGAGGAAATTCCTGCCCTCGCCTTGCCGGAGCTTCAAACAAGCCATTTATAACCAGCCGTAAACTGTTTGCAGCTGGGACACTATACAAGCCATTTGTCTCAGCAGCAGCATTCCTGGTGGCAGAGAGTTTGTCCCATACCTCTTACACACCATAATATACACACATCCCACAGAGTGCTCACATATCCTACACTGATCATAGAGCCACATGCCTCTCCCGCCAACATGATGCCCATCATGGTCACTGAACTTGCTTACTTGCACACATACAGGCAATACCAATACACTTTCAAGGCATCGCATGCTTATGTAAACAAACATTGTGCTCATCACACACTTGCAATTTTGCCTATAACACTCAAATACGCTGCGCATGCACATATCCTGCCACATTTCCACACACACACATCACACTTAACCTAAAACCTAAATAACTCTAAGCTTCTTGTGAGCATTTGCATCCAGGACTACTAAAGTCTTGGCTTGCTTCTTTCGTTTTGCAATGAAAGCAGAGATTCTCAAGCTGCTGAATTCCTCACCCACTAGAAATGTCTGTGCTTGCGCCCAGAATGGTGGAGAATATTCAAGGTCCTGTGTCTACTTTTCTAGCAATGTTTACGGTCTCTAAAACGAATATGGTGTCTGGAAGGGTCACTAGTCTAATTCAATAGCCAGTGGGCCCATGATCCAGACCTCTCACACAAGATCAGTTTGGTGGATGAGCCTTCTTATTATCTATCTCCACCACTTTTTGCCAGAAAGAAAAGAAAAAATCAGGGCATGACTCTGGGTAGATGTGACAAGGCCAGGTTCTAACCTCTGCTCAGCCACAAAGTTCGATGAGTGGTTTTGACCCTGCCATGCAATTCTTTCAGACTTACAACTCAAGTGCTATTGCGGAGAGAAGTAAGACTTGCTATGAAACTCTAGTAAAGTTATATATGTATGGAAAATAACACAATTTGAAACTCTAGTAAAGTTATATATGTATGAAAAATAACACAATTTGCTGCTGTTGCGAAGGCCTTTATCCCTAATGCCAGACTAGAGTTTCATTCACGAGTATTACATAACTTTTATGTCATCTAGAGATTCAGATTTCATAGGAAGTTATAAGCTGGCTAAGGCTGGATGGCGTATCATTGGTGGCACCGCGACTGTGTATTCACTCAGGAGAGGCCACTCCATAGATACAGAAGCTCACATGTCCTCCTATGTCATATTTCCATAACAGTTGCGCAACCAAGGCCTAGTTTTCAAAGCAACCATTGTGGGAAGCCACGTATCACTGTAGGTGCTGAGACATGAGGAAGACTTGCAAGAAAGTTCAACGAAGTACTGATTTTATTTTTACCAATTTGTCTGACACACGTAGACCTTTTGTTAGGTATCTGCGGCACATCAAGGCAAACCGCCCTGAGATCTTATGATGAAGGGCGGTATAGAAATCTAATAAATAAAATAAAAAATCAACGCAGAACAGGATTGGAAAACCTGTGGCTGTTCAAATGTTGCTGGACTACAATCTTTGATCATTGGCCATGCTGGCTGGAGTTGACAGGTGCTGAAGTCCAGTAACATCTGGGTGGTCACATGTACCATACGTATCAGGCCTGGGGAACCTGTGGTCCCCAGATGTTCCTGAACTACAACTCTCACGAGCCCCAGTCAGCATAGCCAATGGGTCAAGGGATGATGGGAGTCATGTTCCAGAAACACCTGAAGACCATAGGTTCCCCAATCCTGGTATGCATGTAGAACCCAACTGTTGCTTCCAACACTCACAGAAGCAGTTGCCCCTTTCTTCTGGATAGACACTTTTTTTGTGCCAGATGGTGGAGGATCACTGATGCCAAGGCAGATAAACCATAAAACAGAGATGTGTCATCACAAAAATCAAGCGAAGTTAAAAACTTGGTGCAGAGGGGATGCCTCAACTCTCTCTCAGTTTTGCAGCTACTTCCGCAATAAGGAGGAAAGTGCTGGTTGACACTAGCACACACCAGCAAATGGTCTCTTCCCCTGCATCCCCTGTACCCAAATAACAAAAGATGGCATGGTGCCACTCAAAAAGTCAAACATCAGCAAAGCCTTTCCCTTTTTTCTGGGCTTCTGCTGAATATTAGGATGACTCTTAGGGTGCTCCTGTGATGAGGGCTTGTTATGTCCCCCTCTGTACGATAACGCTTTATCTGATCTTTTAATTGTGTTGAGATGTTTTCATTGTACACTCCTCTGTATTGTACCCTGTCCTGGGATCAGGGGATGATGGGCAGATGAAAAGCACTACTAACAAATAAGCCAACAAAACAAACAAACTGGCCCATCCTTGCCTCTCCTGCATTACCACCAGGTATCCTCCTCACTCTTTCCTTTGTCAGCTCCTGACCCTTCCTGCCCTCCTAAAAGTACACTTCATAGCCCTCCAGAGAGAAAGAGAGAGGGAGAGACCAGATCAGTTCCAGAGCCCCCAAAAGTTCCTGGCACTCCATGGGTACTAAGCACTTATTTAAGCAGCAGCAGTCACTGGAACAGCAAGCCATCTGCTAAGTGGGGAATGAAGCCCTGTGGGCTGTTATAACCTGTAAAGAGTTATTTCTGTAAAGAGAGTGGTGCCAATATATTTGTCAAGCCTATCTTGAAGCTATAGCCTATAGTCCAGAATCCCAAATTCTAGATGGCATGGGTTACTTCATGGTGATGAAAAGGCATTCCGGCCTTGCCCAGGGAAACATCTCCCTTTATCATTTAACATGTTTCTGAGTTGAACCTTGATCTTAAAACCAGGTCCCTGACTGAGCCCTGACTCGAATTCAGCTTCAGCATCCCCCCTGTGTAATAAAATCCCTCCATTCCCTTGGAATGGCTATTGTTGAGTTTTTATTAAACAGCACAGTAGTAAGAATTTCTTAGTTCCACAGTGTTCTACAGTCCTCACACGAAGAAGGGCGCTGCTTCTATTTGTGCTTCTGCAACCTCATGCAAGCGCTCGGGGTGGGAGAAGGAATCCTCCCACAGTTCAATTATAGACCTAGGCAGGAAGCGACGCGTTTTGATTTCCAGGCGCCGTCGAAAGAGTTAAAGTGCCACATTTCTTGAGAGCGCTTTGGCAGCCAGGCTGGGGTGGGGCCGTTCCAAACGAAACCGCTTTGAAAGCGAGCTCCCCTCGGGTAAGGAGGGGGGCGGGCGGGAGAAAGGGGAGCGGAGCTTAACCCTGCATCCTCCCCAGGTGCCCCCAAAGGTGATGGGGAGCTGCCTTTGCACCACACCGTGTGTGTGTGTAAAAATATCAAAGGATTGTTCTTCTGCAAGTTGTAAACACTGGTGGTGGGTGCCAAAAAGCGGGGAAGGAAGGGAGGGAGGGAAGCGATTTGGCAGCTGCTCAAAGAGAAAAGGGAACGCAGGACCCGCTGGGGACACCCTTGGGTGTTTGACAGATCTCGCAAACACAACACCCCCAAGTCTCCGCTTCTACTTCCAGATTTCCAGATTCCAATAGTGTCTACAGTCTAGTGTGTGTACAAAACAAGGACGCAGCATTGCCTAACTAAAGGATTCTATTTGCACGGCGTGGTAGACTACAGCCAAATCCCCTTTACTTTAAATCGAGGAAAGATAACAAAAGTAAAAAATTAAACTCCTGCTGCCAGGCTTTGTGAAGGATGAACGTCCGTCCCCCCCCCCGCCTTCTAGGCATCGTCTCCCAAAAGAAAGTCTTCCTTCCTTTCTGCCGTTCCTGATTTACTCCACATCCCCTCCACCCACACCCAGGTCGCCAAGAAACTTCAAAGTTCCCCCCTCATCTGGTGTTCATAATCCGCGTTTCCACATCAAGACAAAAGAGCGACGAGCGAGAGGGATCCCCAGTTTCCATGTAACCGAGACACAGTAGATCGCTGCCCAGATTACAGAAGGGGGGGTTGCAAACGTCCCAGAGCTTAAGTCACGCAGCCCCCCCTCTTTTTTTGCAGAGGAAGGGGGGAGACCCATAAAATTTCGGATCCCGACCCGCTTTCTGCTCCCCCACCCCTCCCCACGCCTCTTTTGCGGCGCAAGAGTTCCGAAGCAGGAAAAGAAAAAGTTGGAAAATTGGAACGCGAAGCAACCAATCAGGTCGGACGGCACGCCGAACAGCGCCCTCTAGGAAGATGCCCACCCGGATCCACTCGCGCCCAACGCCCACGCGCGGTTATTAAAAAGAAACAAAACAAAACAAAAAAAAGCCCTGCCCCCAACCCATGTCAACAATCGCTGGACGCGGAACCCAATTCATTCTTTTGCATGCGCGTGGCACCCCAGGGACGCACCCTCCCCAAAGGAGCCACCCCACCCCACCCCAGACCAAAACAAAACCCCAAACACCAGCACGAGCTCGGATCACCTACATTGCAAGCTGGCCGGCTGGGGCCACCCGAAGGGATCCAAGCCCACGAAACACGGGCTTGACTTCCGCAGCATGCACGGGCTCCGGTTGGTAACATCGTAGAGTTGCCGCGGGGTGACGGCGAACGCCTCCATGCAATCGTACATCTCCGTTTGGCGTGGAAGCGGGCGGCGGATCAGACAAGGAATGGTGGTGGGGATGAGGATGATGATGATTATGGTGCGCTTCTGATTATGATGATCCTGGAAGAGTTGGAGATGTCCCGCGCCTCCCACAGCAGACGCGCAGGGGGCTTGGCTTGGCTGCGCCCCCACATGCAAAGCTTCTCGGCTGCACGCGCGCAAGGCGCACGCCGCGAGCGAAGCTGGTCGCTTGGGAAGCGCAGGCGCTGCGATCGGTTTCGCTGCCTTGCTTAAAAGGCTATTACCTTGGGGGCGAAAGCGGCTAAGGACTTCCAAGCTCGTGGGTGGGGCTTGGAGCCGAAAAGGGGTGGGCCATGTGGGAGGGACACACACACATACATACAAAATCTGACTACAGTATACGCAGCAGCCACACGGACAACAACGCTCCGAGGAAGACCTAGGAAACGCGCGCAAACACGGATTCGGCAGGCGCGCAAGAAGGAAATAATAAGGGTCACAGTCCACGCAGGACTATTCTTTTGCACTGTATTCTTCGTTCTTTTCCAAGCCACACTCGCGATGACAGGAAGAAGGGCGGCGGCGGGGGGGGGGGGGGGGACAACTGCCAAAGCTCTCAAAAGTTTCGCAAAAGGGCAAGCTGATTATTCATATTTACTGGGAAGTCTGTTCTCCTGAGAAATTTGCAGCTTCTGCCTAAAGTGTGTGATTCACATAATCACTGCTCTTGCAAAACTACACATCCATATCCACCATCCTTGATATTGCTGGCAGTGGCGTAGTGTGGGGGGTGCAGGGGGGGCCGGCCGCACCGGGCGCAACATCTGGGGGGGCGCGCTCGCACTCGCAGCTCTCTGGCCCTACCTGGCTCACTCACTCTCTCTCACTGCAGTGCTGGCTGTGCGAATCCGATCCAAGCCGCTGGGTCGCCGCCCACTGTGGAGGGGGTGGGTGCCAGGCGTGTGGTGTGGAGAGAGCGCGAGGGACTATCTGGGGGAGGGACAGTGCAGCGGCCGCCCAGCGCAGCGCTGAGCGCGGGAGAGAAACACACCAGACCAGACCAGGCAGCAGCAAGAAGAAGCTGGCAGCGGCGGCAGGTTAGGGGTTAGGGGGCGCAAATTACTTGCCTTGCCCCGGGTTAGGGGGCGCAAATTACTTGCCTTGCCCCGGGTGCTGACAACCCACGCTACGCCGCTGATTGCTGGTTGAAATCCTCATTTCACCTATACAGTGGTACCTCAGGTTACATATGCTTCAGGTTACAGACTCTGCTAACCCAGAAATAGTGCTTCAGGTTAAGAACTTTGCTTCAGGATGAGAACAGAAATCGTGCAGCAGCGGCACAGCGGCAGCAGGAGGCCCCATTAGCTAAAGTGGTGCTTCAGGTTAAGAACAGTTTCAGGTTAAGAACGGACCTCTGGAACGACTTAAGTACTTAACCCGAGGTACCACTGTATAAGCCAACACTGAAAAGAGAGGTCGTGGGTGTAGACCTCCATTATCGTTTTTGCCACTTTTTCAAGACTATGGCAAAGTCCTCAAAAGGTGTATTACGAAAACGGCTAATGCAACTGAAGTGAGCTGGTGTCAACACAGGATGTGTTCTCACAAGGTCTCCTGAGCATACCCAGGAGTGCTTGGTGGGGCATCTCCCCCCCCCCCATCAAGTAACTAAATAAAAATACTTACCTGACCAGTTGCAGATAACTCGGTTCTGGCTCCCCACCACATAAAGCCTGCCCACCTAAGAGAAATCCTGACTACGCCCATGCAAGGCCTTTTAATATTAATTAGTTATTACAGATTCCCCCATCACATCAATTCCTCCATAGTCAAGTTAAAGAATGGAAAGTGTTCATTTTATTTATTAAATGTGTCAGTCGCTTTGCCCAGGGCAACCCAAAGTGACTTCCAACTATACAAATAGACAATAACCCCCACATAGATATATTAAAACCAAGAGGAAATATATTTAAAACATCCCTTTCCCACTTCTAAATGGCCACAGATAGTCAAAGGCCTGGTTTTGCTTGGTGCCTCAAGATATACAATGATGGCAGCAGGTGAGCCTCCCAAGAAGAGCGTTCCACCAACAGGGAGCCACCACAGAAAAGGCCCGTTCCCATGTAGCTACCCTCTGGACTTCTAGTAGAGGGCCCCCCCAAAGAATGGTCTCCCATGATGAGCACAGGTGTTCTGTTCCCTACCTGCTCTGCCTCATGTCTATATATATGGGTGGAATGGGCATTGGGTTTGGAATTACATCATCAAACAATGATTGATAATTCGTACTAATGAATTCAAAGACAAGGGGTGAGATATTGAGAATCCACCCTAGCGTGCATTTTGTGTGCGTACAATTCAGGATATTTAAAGAACTGCTGGTTCATAACTCAGGTTAGTAAGCGAAGGTTTGCAGTGTTTCCGCATGGGCATGAAGCCCCTTCACACAAGCCGCAATTAAATCAGAAAGGCTCTAATTAACCATAGCTTTCCATTTCCTCTTAACCAGGAAAATATGGTTAGTAGCTGCAAACAAGCTACCATGTTATAAACCAATGAAGCTGGTTACCCGTTTTAGAACCAGTCATGATGTTAAACTAACTTTAAACTCTGTTTTAATTTCCCGTCTTATCCTGAAGCTAGTAATCATAGTTTTCCGGTTCAGACAACATGGGAAACTGCAAATAATTAGAGACTTCTTGGTTTAACTGTGGCCCACATGTGCAGGCAAAAGGCTTGTGCATACTATAGCCTAAAAGGCAAGATCACCCAAACATGGCCACGGAGTGATGTAAACGCCCATTTATTTTTATCGATGATTTTTAATCTGTATCAGTGAGTACAAAATCAGTACATGGTGGTTAATTTGAATTTAATTAAGGAAACTAGAGGGTTCATAGAGTAAATATCTGGGACCTGTGCATATATATTCACACTGCAGAACAAATTCAAACCTTGGTTGTCGAACGCAATTCGTTCCGGAAGCCCGTTCGGCTTCCAAAAATGTTCAACAACCGAGGCGCGGATTGTGACTGGTTGCAAGATCTTGCACTCAAGCGGAAGCTGTGTCAGATGTTTGGCTTCAAAAACAGGAGCACTTTCTTCCGGGTTTTCAGTGTTCGGGAGCCGAAACATTTGTCAACGGAGCCATTTGAGAAGCAAGGTTTGACTGTACAAACTTTCTCTTTCAGTGCTCAGTTCTATGGTCTCTCACTTTTTCTCTTTCTCCCCCACACTTTCAGACCTTGATTTCAGCAACTTCATAGTGGTGCAGTAAATCTGGGTAGAGCTGTGAGCTGGGCACGTGGTGAGCAAAGCAACTGCACAACTGCTCTAAACACAATGTAAAAACCCACCCCAGATCTGCTCAGCCCAGGAGGCTGGCCTGCTACTAGTTTGATTATGTCAAGGATGCCGGAGTTGGATGTGCAGAAATCAGCAGGTAAAACCCGTTCACAGCATGGAAATAAACATTATCACCTGTTAATTCCTGTAGATCAAACTACTGCTGTTCAAAAGCTAGCGACCTAACTGGCTACCTGGGGGTTGCTCTTACTTGTCACAGGTGGCAAATCTGGCTTCAAACAAAATATCCTGCTGTCTTTGTAAAGTTAGAGGAGTATTATTGAGCCAAATTTTATTGCAGGGATGAGGAACAGCCAGCCCACAGTGTCTTTGGATCCAGGCTACAGCCTCTCCTCTCCAACTCTGCCCCCTCCACAGCAATAAAGGATTTTTTTGGGGGGGGGGAGTTCCCATTGATGCCAATGGAAGCTTCCCCCTGCCAAAAAAGCCAAATTGCCATGTGTGGAGAAGGAGAGAATTGGGGGAGGGGGTGTCACAGATAGGGAGGCAAGGGTTAACATTCTACTCCCCACACAATGTGACCCCCTCCAAATCATACATGGTAATTAGGCTTAGAGAAAAAGCTTCCATTGACATGGCAGTTCTTAACTATAGAAGCCTTTCTCCAGGCAAAATGAAACAAATCAACAGAATAATATTTTTATACTAGGACCGCAGGCATACCTAGGGACCCTTGCACCTTTGGCAAGGAGTTGTATTGGCACCCACCACCATGTCCAAGAGCTTTAAAATAAAATAAAATCTGGAACTCTGGAGCTTTCCCCACAAAAACTTGTTTTTTAAAGCTAATGTGCAACAAATGGCAATCCAGGTTTTCTGCGGATTGCTGTTTGCTCCGATTCAGCTTTAAAGAGTGTGTGGACATGGACCTTTAAAGCACAGACCATGCCTAGAAAATGTGGACAAGCCCCTCGTTTGAATAGCTTTCAGTCTTGCTGAAATAAGGTCCGGGCAAGTTGCAAAAGCTCGCACAGGAAGCAGTGATGGCCACCAACTTAAAAAGGTAAAGGGACCCCTGACCATTAGGTCTAGTCGTGACCGACTCTGGGGATGCGGTGCTCATCTTGCTTTATTGGCCGAGGGAGCCGGCGTACAGCTTCCAGGTCATGTGGCCAGCATGACTAAGCCGCTTCTGGCGAACCAGAGCAGCGCACAGAAACGCCGTTTACCTTCCCGCCAGAGCAGTACCTATTAATCTACTTGCACTTTGACGTGCTTTCAAACTGCTAGGTTGGCAGGAGCAGGGACCGAGCAACGGGAGCTCACCCCGTCATGGGGATTCGAACCGCCGACCTTCTGATCGGCAAGTCCTAGGCTCTGTGGTTTAACCCACAGCGCCACCCATGTCCCTGCCACCAACTTAGATGGCTTTAAAAGAGGATTAGACAAATTCATGTATGAGAGGGTTATCAGTGACTGCTAGTCCTGATGGCTCTGCCCTGCCTGTACAGATGGAGGCAGCAACACTTGCTGGAATACCACTTGCTGGAAACCACAGGAGAGGAGAGGGCTCTTGTGCTCAAATCCTGCTTCCGGGTTTCCCACAGGCAAATGTTCATCCACTGTGAGAACTGGATGCTGGACAAGATGGGCCACTGACCAAATAGCATTGACCAAAAAGCAGGAGTAAAAACTAAATCCAGTTTTAAATATATTCTGAGAGTCTTCTACTCTCTGTCTCACATGGACGTTGATAGGTTTATCATATAAACAAGCACAAGAAACCAACACCTTTTCAGAGCATGCCTCTCTCACAAGTGTTGGCTTAAATTCTCTCTCTCCCACACACTCCCAAGCTGCGTACCTTCATCTTAACGCCTCCTCGCCAACATCCCTCAACCCCCAAACCACAACTGCAGCCATCAGAGGATGCATCCCTGACCATCTGCTTTGCAAGCAAATTGCTCTCCCAGCCAAAATCCAGGTTCTGCCAAATCAGTGACAGGGATGAGGAATGCAGAACATGATTCTGAGAAACCACTGTAATCCCACATCAGACTGGCTACCAGTTGGACCGGGTCAGAGTCGACAGGCCTAAGCAAACTATCACATTTTGTTGGGTGGGGGAACTGATCCTGTTCCCAGTGCCCTCAAAGCAGAGTAAGAACAGTGCAAGAAAAGGGTCCCGCAAAGCCCCACCTGTTGACTCTGCTCCACAAAAGCTTGTGCCATAATAGGACGTGTTCATCTTCAATATGCTTCATGCCTCCTTGTCATTTTTGCCGCTTGAGTTTTCTCTATCCAATCCATCCATGAAGCCTTTTAATAGAATATTAACCATACAAGTTGGAAGGGACCACGAAGGTCATCTAAGTCCAACCCCCTGCAATGCAAGAATCTTTTGCCCAATGTGGGGCTTGAACCCACAACCTTGAGATTAAGAGTCTCGTGCTCTACCGACTGAGCTGATTTTGCACAAGTAGCGAGCCATACCATTTGTGTTTGGCAAGGCAGTTCATTTCCGAAAATGGGTCTAGACTAAGTGTGGGGGACCTCAACCCTGGGGACCAAAGGCAGCCCCGCAGCCCTCTCTATCTGACACCCCCTGGCTCTTTCCCCAGGCCCCCTCATTGGCCACGCCCTTCACTGGCTTTGCTTTTCACCCTCATTGGGGAGTTTTTGCTCTGATGAAGCTACTTCCTTGCCTGGATGGAGAATAAGGTAAAGGTAAAGGGACCCCTGACCATTAGGTCCAGTCGTGGCCGACTCTGGGGTTGCGGCGCTCATCTCGCTTTATTGGCCGAGGGAGCCAGCGTACAGCTTCCAGGTCATGTGGCCAGCATGACTGAGCTGCTTCTGCCGAACCAGACCAGCGCACGGAAACACCGTTTACCTTCCCACCGGAGCGGTACCTATTTATCTACTTGCACTTTGAGGTGCTTTCAAACTGCTAGGTTGGCAGGAGCAGCGACCAAGCAACGGGAGCTCACCCAGTCGCTGGGATTCGAACCGCCGACCTTCTGATTGGCAAGTCCTAGGCTCTGTGGTTTAACCCACAGCGCCACCCGCGTCCCGTGGATGGAGGATAGAGAGGGGCATTTGAGTGTGCAGAAACTAGCTCACTGTACAAATGAAAAATTTACATTTGTGGGTTTGCCCACCAGTGGCATGTGGAAGGCTGCCCACAAGAGAATGCTTCCCTCAGGGCAGAACAAGTCCCCGCTCCCCCAATCTATTTTTTCTTTCTTTCAAGGAACAGGAACGTGGGTGTCTTCTGTCTTAGTCAGTCATTAGGACTTATGTGGAACTCCCCCCCCCCCGGAGCAGAATCCGCTTTTTATCCAGCAGCTGCGTTCATGGCAGTGCCAGAGACCATGGCTCATAACATGCTCTGGTAACAGCCAGCCTGCACAGCCAGAATGTCAGTGACTTCCCTTTGGAAATCCAGCTCACCTTCTTCCAGAGAGGAACAGCTAGCAAAAGTATGGGACACTGCACTGTCGTAACACCTGACTCAAAAACGGAGAGTCCTTACGGGCTCATCAGAAGCAGAGCACTTTTGTTCAACTCGGTGTTAAGATTTTCTCCTATGTTAGCTTGACTGCACAGCCCACTAAATCCCTGAAAACCAGATTTACTCAACTTTTCAGACCCCCCAAGTGTCCCTATTTTCCAGGGAAAGTCCCGGATTTACAGAAGCTATTCCAGTTTCTGATTTGATCCTGCAATGTTCTGCTTTTCCTTAAAGGTAAAGGACCCCTGACAGTTAAGTCCAGTCGCGAATGACTCTGGGGTTGCGGCGCTCATCTTGCTTAGGACGTCCCTATTTTCATTAGAGCAATGTTGGAGGGTATGGAGTTTTGCGACTCCCAAGTTAAGGAGATAACTAACTACATAACCTTTGCAAAACATCTGAAGGCAGCCCTGTATAGGGAAGTTTTTAAAACAAGTTTTTTAAAGTTTAGGTTTTTGGTATGTTGGAAGCCACCTAGAGTGGCTGGGGCACCCCAGTCAGATGGGCAGGGTAGAAATAATAAAGTTGTTGTTGTTGTTGTTGTTGTTGTGATGTCCCTATTTTCATCTGAGAAATGTTGGAGGTTATGCCTTTTTCTTCTTAATACAATAGTGGCGGCATTGCCCTCGCAGTAGTCTCCCCGTTTCCCCCTCCCCTCGTTTTATTTTTGTTTATTTTTGTTTGTTACACTCTCATTTCTCACTGCATTTTGTACCTGCCAACAACATTCTGTATGAAAAATGGCAATAACAACACCAACATCATCATCATCATCATTAGTAGTAGTAGTATTGCCGGCCAGCCTTTCAACAGAACGAAAACAGGTGAAGTTATGCCAACTTCTTCTTCACTCTAACAATGGCTGAGATGCTCCAAAAATGACATGGTGGTAAATAATATTAATATTAATAATAATGACATGGTGCCTGGCTTCTCCCCAATGGATGGGATGTCCTTTTCTCTCCCTCTCTCTTTCGCACACACACTCACACCGCACAAAATATGCTTTTAAAAAACCCCTCCTCTCTGCCCTGTCCCCAGCTTCCACTAAGCGAGCCAACACAAACACACTTGCTAGCTGAGTTGGACATGGCCTACTTTTTGCCACCCCCCCTTTTTTTTAGCCCTGGCTCAGCTATCCCCATCTCTCCCCCCCACCCCCCCCGCCACTGGCCCTCCGCCCCACCAGCAGCTGAGCCAAACTTAATTCCTGCCCCCCTCACCTGCTAGGGGCAAAGCAACATTAGCTTTTCTTTCTGGTTAAACCGGGCTTCCCCCTCGCGAGCTAGGCCCGGCTCCCTCTCCACTGGTTGGGCTAGGCTCCTTGCCAGTAGCTGGCCAGGCCAGGCCAGGCTGTTCCACCCCACTCTTCTCCATTCCCCCACCCCCTGAAGCCTCTCCCTTTCCTTCCAGCGCGAAGGCCGAGCGAGCGTCAAGCGAGCCAGCGGCATGAACTCTGCAAGAACCCCCTTTGGGTGCAGTAACCTCCGCATGACCCAGCTCCATGGCAGTCCTTCCCTCCGCTGCCTGCAACACAGCAGCCAAACCAGGCCCTTGCTCCCTCTCCTTCCTTCTGCTCAGTTTTTCCACAGCCTCCCGGTGCCCCACAGTTTCCAGAAAAGAAAGAAAAAAGCCTTGCAAACAGCAACCACCCTAGCTCCACAGACCCCCATCTCCCCATCACTAGGGGGGCAACTGGTCACTTCTGAACCGGTATTTTTGATGCTGCTTTTTAACCCTAACTGAAAAGCTGGATTTTTTTGTTTTGTTTTGTTTTGTTTTAAAACTTCGCCGAATCAGCAAACAGCTTCTGATCTGCATGTGTTTAAATGTATTAAGTGGCCAGAGAATTCTTCCACAAGCAGATTTTATCCCGCCACCACTGCCACCCACCCCCTCGATGATCTGTGCCAGTTTGCGGGGGTGACAACAGACAGAAGATTTCCAGAGTTTGGAGGGTTGGGTGGAGGAATCAATGCAGCCCCACAATAACCTCAAAGCAAAAGTTCTGGCAGAATGGAAAGGCGGATTTAACTCGCAAACCACACGGTGCCACAAGCCAGTGAAAGAATCCCTTGGATTTGCCCAAGGATGGGCACCCATAAAACAGTGGTCTAGCCCCTTACCCTGCCAGGCGCAGATCGAGTGGAGGCTTGGGGAGCAAGGAGAGAGAAAGACAGTCTTACTCCTTGTTTCTTACCCCATAGGATTTCTGTAACTAACTTCTAGGCTTGTGATAAATCCATCACCCTAAATCATAGGGTTTTCAAGCAGCCCTACAGTTCAGTTCCCCCTCCCTCTTCCTCCCCTCACCAAGGCTGCAAGTCAGCATTCACAAGTGCTCCTTTTTTTAAAAAAAATCCTGGATTAAATAATCCAATCCTTTTCTGATCCTGTGCTTCCAGTGCCTATACTAGATTTAAAAACAAAAACCTACCATGCACAGCCACCCTTATGGTGGTAGCTTATGGTTAAAGGGTGCAAACTGGTACTAACTAATCACTTTCTGAACGCAAACACAGATAGTAGCTTCTGCCTTATATAGGTGGGGGCTGCTTCTTGTCCCTCCCTTGCTGCTCTTCCCGAAAACTCCCCAAGCCTGTACAGATACATGACTCTACCCTGCAGCTGCTCCCCCCTTTCCCCCCTGCCTTGTGGCTTTCCTTTGCCTGACTGGGACTCTGGCCACAAGGGATTCTTTCCTGCATCCCTCTAGCTTGCACTGGCGGGATCTGAAAGGTCCCAATTAGCCTGACCCGCCTGCCTGCTAATTCAAACCAGAAGCATCTCTGCACGGGCTCTGGCTCTGGGGCTTTGCTGCGCAGGAGCGGCATGTGCGCAGACATTCCCTCACTTGCTCTCCCCCATTATCCCCACACAGCCAGGCAGCCCTGCTGCTAACATGAGGAGGGCAGAGAAGAGTGTGTCAGAGGGGGGAGCATTTTTCTCTTGTTCCCAACGTACACGGTCCTCATCAACCTTGCAGCATCCTTACTCGTTTTTCAGAGACATGTCTCTGTTCTTTTAAAATTTGCCTGCAGGTCCGAGCCCATCCAGAAGTCCAAATCTTCCTTGGCATTGCTTGGTCTTCAGAATAAGCCTCTTGCCATGTTCAATCTCTTGCATGGGTGTAGCCAGAATTTATGTTGGGTCGAGGGGAGGACACCCACCTGTCACTATCTTCTGTCTCGCAGATTCGGAACAAAATGTCTCAACAACAGTTGTTTAAAATTACTTTCTTTTGACCCCAAGTGCTCAGAAAAACCCCTGTCAAAATCTTTCTACAATTTCTACTTTTAGTTAAGTGTTTTGTATTTATTTGATTTTGGGGCCCCTGCCCCCCTGGCCACACCCATGGCCTCTTGCCCAGCACCCAACAGAAGCCCATACTGAGAGGGTGCACCAACTCTGCATCACAGAACAGAACAAGAAGCAACATCTTTTCCATGAAAGTGGAGGTGTGTGCAAACTTTCCAACTGCACAAGAACCACCCGTCAGCCAGAATAGAAAAGTCCATTATTATTATTTTTTTAAAATGATATTTATTAAAATTTCAAAGAATACAAGAATTACACAAAAACAAAAAGTAAAAATACAAGAAAATACAAAATACAGCAAGAAAAATAAAAAAACCCTTATTAAGATATAACAAAGAAATGAAAAATAAAAAGAAACATACAAAATAAAAACAGTTAAGAACACATTAATTTTCCATAGCATATCTTCCTTACACTTATTTCCCCGGACCTCCTCGTACCTCCCTTTTTTGTATTCCAGTTCAGTTTGTTAGTTCAGCAAATCCTTACCATTAAGCTTTTACCCATTTGTAAACCTTTTTTCGTACTCTTAAAGCATTACAGCTGGAAACCACTTAGTTTCTATCCAACATCCTTCTAAGATTCATTAATTTTACAATATTTCTGTAAATAGTCTTTAAATTTCTTCCAGTCTTCTTTCACCGACTCTTCTCCCTGGTCTCGGATTGGCAATCTTGGCAATCTTGTCCCAATGACCCAGGAACCTGAGATTACACCCTCAGCTTCCAGGAAAATACCTGTGTCATGTCTGCAGCAGTAAAAAGTGTGGGGGCATCTGATAAATTAGTTTGGTTATTGTGGCAATAGCCTGTGATACGCAGAGTCAAGTCAGTGATAAACAGAGTCAAGTCAGTGGTCCATTTGGGTCCAGTGTTGTTCACTCAGGTAGTAGCTTTCGCTGTTCTTGGACAGAGAGGTCCTTCCTGGCCTCCAAGTGGCCCTGTTAAGATCCTTTAACTCAGAGGTGGCTAACCTGTCACTCCAAGTGTTATTGGTCTCCAGCTGCCATCAGCCTCAGCCAGCATTGCCAATGATCAGGGATGATGGGAGTTGTGGTCCAGCAATATCTGGAGGGCCACAGGCTCCTCACCTCTGCTTTTACTGGAGATGACTCAGTTTGAACCTGGCACTGTATGTAAACTGGAGTTACTGTCTTTCTATCGCTGCCCTTCATTAGTTCTCCTTCCAGTTATCCAGTTGCTGTTTTCCTTCTGTCTATTTATTCAGTTTGAGCCTGATCACAACAGGCTTCAACCCACCCCTGCAGGCCCCCCAGTGCCAAGGCAGGACAGATTAGTATCGAATTTGTACCTAACTACTGACGTTTGACAGCCAGGAGAATCCATCTGGCTGGCACAGTACTGCCCTCCTTCCTTCTTTCCCTCCTTCCTTCCTTCCTTCCTTGAGAATTAGACCTTCAAACTTTTTTGGTGTGAACTTTTGACAGTCTCAAAAAGCTAAGTGTGTGTGTGTATGTATGTATGCGTGTGTGAGAGAATGGAAGTATAATTTCAGGGTTCCACAGAAACTACAATTTCTTTTGAAGTTGGTATTTCAAAATTTATTTGCTGAGTCATCCCATCTGACCCACGAAAGCAGCTGAGTCCCCACAAACTGTTTGCTCATTTACAGTCCCACACACTGCAGAGTTCAGCACACCTAATCCCATTGAAATCAGCAGCCTTGAAATGCAAATAGTTTTTCTTAGGCTTTAGGCTTAGGCTGTTGATGTAAAATCATTGAGCCTATTCGCCTCTCTCCCTTGCCTAGGAACAAATTATGCTTGGGGTTGGTGTGAGGGGTTGGTGTGGAGAGGGAGAGAAGACTAGAAGAAGATCTTCCAATCTTTCAGAACTTCTAGTCCCACCTTAGATCCGGCACATCTTTCTAACGAAAAAGATTGCGCGGACCCCGTTAAGTGACGCCAGGAAGTTCCAGTTGTGGGAACTGATCCTGGGCACAAAAAGTCTTCAGTTCCCACCAGAGGAGAGGCTGACGACTGTTTCCTGTTGCAGCAATGTTGACAGCTTCCTCCTCTGGCTGGGGCTGTGGGGCTATGGGTCTGGGCATGGCAAAGTCACTGGCATCGACACCTGGTGGCAGTCGACACACTTGCTGGCTTTAAGGAGCTATTCTCTGGCTTTCCTCTCTGTGCCTGGTGGAGGTAAAAAGGTAAAGGGACCCCTGACCATCAGGTCCAGTCGTGGCCGACTCTGGGGTTGTGGTGCTCATCTCGCTTTATTGGCCGAGGGAGCCAGCGTACAGCTTCCAGGTCATGTGGCCAGCATGACTAAGCTGCTTCTGGCGAACCAGAGCAGCGCACAGAAACACTGTTTACCTTCCCGCCAGAGTGGTACCTATTTATCTACTTGCACTTTGACGTGCTTTCGAACTGCTAGGTTGGCAGGAGCAGGGACCGAGCAATGGGAGCTCACCCCGTCGCGGGGATTCGAACCACCGACCTTCTGATCAGCAAGTCCTAGGCTCTGTGGTTTAACCCACAGCGCCACCAACCAGGACTAGGAGTGGCCCAATTATTTACACTGGACAGCAGCATTCAGAAAACTTTACAGGGGCAAGCTGGTGCACAAAAGCTCCCCACAAAAACACTCAATGCTTGCATCACCGGACTGTTTCCAGTCAACTACCCACACCTTACCTTTTCCAACCCAGCCTGGTGTACCACTCAGGGCTTGTTTACATCTTGTTGTTTGTGTTCACATCTAATTTGCATAGTCCACATGGCATTACCCTCAAACACTAGGACCTTGGGGTCCCTTCCAACTCTACAATTCTATGATTATATGAACACCAACCTTGATGTCCCCCACCCCCTCTGCAAATTTGGGTTTATGCAACACAGGGACAACCTGATTAGGAGAAACGGGCTGCAGACCACGCCACTCAGGATCACAGAGTGTTTCAGAGCGGGTGGGTCAACCTACTTTCTGCTACTCCCCTTGCCATGCTCCCGACTTCCTTAAATTAATACTTTCATTTCTCATAACAACACCCCACGCATCCACATTTCTTTTGGTCTCTCAGATTTGCACAAAACCAGAAAACTAAAAAAAGTGTGTGTGCAAGAATTTACAGCTGTCTTTGTGAATGGCTTTAAAGGAGGATATGATCACTATGATCACTATGTTCTGCCTCCTCTGTCAGAGACAATTAACTCTCTGAATACTGCTTACTGGGAATCACAACTGATGAGAGTGCTGTTCTGCTTACAAGCTTCTTGTTGGCAGCTGTAAGAACAGGAGGCTTGGCTACATGGGCTTTTTTTTTTTTTAAATGATATTTATTAAAATTTCAGAAACAAGAGAAAGTTAAAAAAAGAGGAGTTGTGATTTACGCAAAGGACAGATTATTACCGAAATTTATTTTTAAAGATGACCAAGGAAGATTTGTGGCAATTGAAATCCAAACACAAGGAGAAAAATTTTTGATAGTAGGGATCTACGCACCAGGGAGACCAGGGAGAAGAGTCAGTGGAAGAAGATTGGAAGAAATTCAAAGATTATTTACAGAAATATTGCAAAATTAATGAATGTTAGAGTGATGTTGGATTGAAATTAAGTGGCTTCTAGCTGTACAGGCTTTAAAGTTATGAATATATCAAGATTAAGGATTAGGACTAAAAAGGTTAAAAGAATGGAAAAATTGGTTTTTAATAGATAAAAATTTAATGTTATACTATATTAAGATTAAGGATTGGGATTAAAAAGGAGGGAAAGGAATTGCTGGACTAACAAACTGAATTGGAATACAAAAGAGGGAGGTATGAGGAGGTCCGGGAAACAAGTAAATGTAAAAGTAGTGATGAAAAGAGGGAATTGTTTTTAACTGTTTTTTCTTTTTTTCTTTTTTCTTATTGTATTTTGCATTGTGTATTTTTCTTTTTATTCTTGAATTTTTTTTTATTGTTGTTGATGTGATTCTTTCTTTGTGAAACTTTAATAAATATCATTTTTTTAAAAAAAATTCAGAAACAAAAAATTACAGTTAAAGAGAAAAGAAACAAGAAAAAAAAGAGAAAAAACATACAAAATACAAAGTACAGAAAAAAAGTAAAAAAACTTAAAAACAAATTAATCCTTCCGTATCTTACATTTCATTTCCTTGCTTCCCTGACCTCCTCTCACCTCCCTTTTTTGTATTCCAGTTCAATTGGTTAATTCAGCAATTCCTTTCCCTCTTTGTTTTTGTCTTAGTCCTTTAACTTAATATATTATAGCTTTAGATTCTCACCTATTAACAATCCATTTTTACATACACCTTTATGACATTGCTGCTAAAACCACTTAACTTCATTCTAACATCATTCTAACATTCATTAATTTTGCAATATTTCTGTAAATAGTCTTTAAATTTCTTCCAATCTTCTTCCACCGACTCTTCTCCCTGGTCTCGGATTCTGCCAGTCATTTCTGCCAGTTCCATGTAGTCCATCACCTTCATCTGCCATTCTTCCAGAGTGGGTAGATCTTGTGTCTTCCAATACTTTGCAATAAGTATTCTTGCTGCTGTTGTGGCATACATAAAGAAAGTTCCATCCTTCTTTAGCACCAATTGGCCGACTATGCCCAGGAGAAAGACCTCTGGTTTCTTCAAGAAGGTATATTTAAATACCTTTTTCAATTCATTATAGATCATCTCCCAGAAAGCCTTAATCCTTGGGCACGTCCACCAAAGGTGAAAGAATGTGCCTTCAGTTTCTTTACATTTCCAACATTTATTATCGGGCAAATGATAGATTTTTGCAAGCTTGACTGGGGTCATGTACCACCTGTATATCATTTTCATAATATTCTCTCTTAAGGCATTGCATGCCGTAAACTTCATACCTGTGGTCCATAACTGTTCCCAGTCAGCCATCATTATGTTATAAGCTACATGGGCTTTTGATGTGACCCAGCCACATGCTATTAAGAGTACAGAGCAGGTACAGAGGCCCCGATCCAAACTGGGACCCTGATGGAGGGTAAGAAGGCTGTTAACCCTTCACCTTCCCACACACGGTTACGGTCCCTGTCCTGTGCCTGTTGTTTGCTTTTGGAAGAACGCTCCCATTGGTGCCAATTAATTTTAATTGGGAAAATGGTGTGGATGTGTTTATGAAGTCTTAAACCTTCTCTTCCAGAACCACGGTCTCAGTTCAAATTGCCCTTCACACAGCTGATATAAGCATTTTTTTAAACAGCTGAAGACCCATACATATGTCTCCCATGTCGTGCCACACTATGTTTGCCTCTATTAATCTGCTTCCCAGACAAACTTTTTCACCATCACATATAACCACATGCAGACTCATTTCTGCATTCGTGATCAGGGGGATAGAACAGCTCCCCTATGAGGAAAGGTCGCAGCATTTGGGGCTTTTCAGTTTATAGAATCATAGAATTAGGAGGGACACCCAGGGTCATCTAGTCCAACCCCTTGCAATGCAGGAAACTTCTGCCCAACGTGGGGTTCGAACCCACAACCCTGAGATTCAGAGTCTCAGGCTCTATCAACTGTTCTCATGAAACGAAGCATGCCACAGATGTGACCTGGTAGCAGCTGGTGCAGCAACTTTGCTGAAGCAAAAGATGAATAAGAGGTGACACGGCAGAAGTCATAGAGAGTAGAAGTCATGGCATGCAGAAAGTGGATAGCGAATTTTTTTCCTCCTGCGTAATGCTAGAACTCGTGGACATACAATGAAGCTGAGCGTTGGAGGGTGCAGGAAAGAGAAACAGAAAGTACTTTGTACGCTGGCATCTCCTGCTGAAGAAGGTCAGTCTCGTCCTTTGAATTATTTTCTTCCAGACAAGGCCACTCCTGTTTTACAAGCTGGTATACCTCCTGGCATCTTATCTACCTGTCCTCCAGGTTGGTTTCCACCCAAGAGAGCCTCAAGCTAGGTTTATGTACCTAGTTCACATACAGGTATTAATTTTGGAAAGTGAGACATCTGTTGAGACTCAGTGCCACTTGATAGACTTGGAAGCACGGTCTCATCTAGTCAGGAGAAGAAGCAGGAGGAGGAGGAGGAGAACAGGTCATTTTGCTTATGCACTCTTCCCAGTTATTATTTCTTGACCTGTTGCCACAACAGAACAAGATGCAGTCTTCAACATTGTCAAATCATATACAGAAACTGGAATGAACCAAGAGAGTCCTTTGGTCAAACCATTACCTTGCCAGCCTCCAACTGACCCACCTGTTCAATTCAGGAAGGAGTGAATGCTCACCACCCAGGCCCACAAATCACTTTTGAAAGCTGTCATTGGGTCTTAAATCCACATCATGAACTAGCTGGGAGCCACTCCTTCGATGCAGCTAGAATGAAGGCCCTCGATGCATGTGCAGAACGCCTGCTCTTTATTAATTATTCCCTACAGCTACGCATCTTCCACAGAAAAGTACAGTGGTAAAGGTAAAGGGACCCCTGACCGTTAGGTCCAGTCGTGACCGACTCTGGGGTTGCAGTGCTCATCTCGCTTTATTGGCCGAGGGAGCCGGCATACAGCTTCCGGGCCATGTGGCCAGCATGACTAAGCCGTTTCTGGCGAACCAGAGCAGCGCACAGAAACGCCGTTTACCTTCCCACCGGAGCGGTACCTATTTATCTACTTGCACTTTGATGTGCTTTCGAACTGCTAGGTTGGCAGGAGCAGGGACCAAGCAACGGGAGCTCACCCCGTCACGGGGATTCGAACCGCCGACCTTCTGATCGGCAAGTCCTAGGCTCTAGATGCATGTGCAGAATGCCTGCTGTTTATTAATTATTCCCTACAGCTATGCATCTTCCACAGAAAAGTACAGTGGTACCTCGGGTTAAATACTTAATTCGTTCTGGAGGTCCGTTCTTAACCTGAAACTGTTCTTAACCTGAAGCACCACTTTAGCTAATGGGGCCTCCCGCTGCCACCGCCGCACGATTTCTTTTCTCATCCTGAAGCAAAGTTCTTAACCCAAGGTACTATTTCTGGGTTAGTAGAGTCTGTAACCTGAAGCGTATGCAACCTGAAGCGTATGTAACCCAAGGTACCACTGTATAGGGTATGGATTTCCAGCAGGCTTCCTGCACCCAATGAATGACTAAAGGTGTGGAGGGAAATAAAACGGGGACGGGGGAAGCTCGGGCCCTCCAGATGTTGGCGGACTACAACTCCCATCATCTTTTACCATTGGCCATGCTGGCTGGAGCTGATGAGAGTTTGAGTCCAACCACCTTGGGAGGGCCACAGGTTCTCCCAACTGTATTAAAGAAAAAACGTGGATCCCATTGGGTTCCTGTGTTGAGAGGGCAGGCTTTTCTCTTTCTGCTCTGAACCCTGCTCATCACATCACACCATCTGAGGGTGCAAAAGGAAGGAGAGGAAGGAGGTGTTGTGGGGGGGGCCAGAGGGGCAGCGGGGGGGGGGGAGCATATTGCCAGATTCTCTCTGGAGCCATCAGAGGAGACGGGAACAGCCTCAGGCACCTTCCCGCATTCCAGCCAAATTGATGCCATAAACACACTGAAACATTCAGAATTCAAGAGCGAGAATATGAGGGGGAAACACAAAGCAGAGGGGGGGGACAGCTAATTTGCTTTCTAGAGCCCATTCGCCCACCCGGCTTCCTGCCAAAATGCAGGATCAGTGGACACTAGCCCCTCTGAAAAGGACACTGTTCCACAAGAAGCCCCTAACCTTGGCCCACTGGGTAGTAGTATCCTGTGCCAATTCTATGCAGAGCAGATCCGCCCAAATTAATGGAGCCAAGTGAGTCATGTCTATGAATTTCAACAGGTCTACTCTGAGTAGGACCAGCATTTGCCACAAACCACACTGCTGGGAAAATGCATACTCTCCTCCACCCCACCCCACGAAACCCCAGAGAGGTTTCGTTGGAAGAAAACATATGGCTCCTGCACAAGAAATTAGCAACAACTGTCCTTTTTCTTTTTCTCCTACAAAACCAGCCATCCAGGAAAAAGTCCCAAGTTTCGTCTTGTACCCCGCTCAGCTTTGGGCAGCTGTGAGGTTCATGATACTGCAGGCCAACCCAGCATAAGGGGAAAGCTAGGAGGGATGGATGCAAAGGTATTGAGGATTAGCCTAAGCAAAACTAGGTACACAAGAAAGAACTTTTTCAAACAGAGCCGCCCTGGAGAGTCCTGTCTTCCCTCTTGTTTCCTGCTTGTCCACCGAAGGATGCTGCCCTGTGGGGGAGAGGAGTATAGTTGGCCAGCTCCCCCATCTCTTTAGCACCAGTAGCTGCCTTGTGCGGAGGAGGAGGAACAATATTAAACAGGGATGGAGATAAGGGGCCTGCAGCACTCTCAGAAGCTGCTGTAAACTTGGCCTCCCCCATGAGCGTCTCCCGGCCAGGAGAGTCAAGGCCAGTTCCAATGGACAGCTGCTATATGGTTGTCTGCTCCTCTTAGTGGACTGGGGATAACGAAATGGGGAAGGAACACAGTGAAGTTTGCCCAACAGCAGGGGAAGGAAGTACTGCACCGAACATTACTTAGCCACTGTCTGCAGTGCAGGAAAAGCCCATTCAGAACCAGTGAACTCCCTAATTCCTGGACCTGGGAACTGGTCACCTACATAGTCTCTATCTTACCAGGATGAAAGATCACTTGGTTGGCCCTCATCCTGTCAACTACTGCATTCAGATGCTGGTTTAGAACCAAAACTGCTTCTCCTGATTCAGATGTTTCGGAGAAAGAGAACTATGGTGTCATCAGCATATTGATGACACCATGCCCCACTGACGGCTTGCCTTAACAGATGTTGGTGTATGTTGCATTTGCTTTCCTGGAAGCGGAACCGAGGCAGGTTCAACACAGACCACGGCTGGCATCATCCAGTACTAAGAAGCCCAGCACAAACAGCTGAATAAGACTTTGTAAAGGCTTTTCCTTTGGAGAAACAGTACCACATTTGGAACCGTTTTGTTGCAAGAGATAAGGATATCTTCCCTCTGAGTGATGCTTCTGTTGTGGTGAGGTCTCATCCTTCTAGCATTTTAGAAGGAAATTTGATTAAACGGCTGCTGATTAAATGTGAGGCTTCTTCCTCACACAGCTAGCCCCTTCGCTGCCACTGAGATTGCTGTGTGCCAGATGGCTGCGTGACTGACGAAAGCAGCTACTGGCTAGTGCCTGTGTCATCATTAATGGCAAGACATGCATGTCCTCACCCCGTAACCCAGTTTGCTTTTAATTTGTGTCCGTTCTTTCCAGAGCAAGCATGTTCCTACATTACCAGATGAGTTCTAGTACAGACCTTTATTAACCAGACTAAGCATGAAATTAGACTTCTCTTGCACGAATTTCCTGCCACTTGCAAAAATGTTTTTCTTTGCAATTTGCTTATCATGTAAATGTGTGCATCCCACTTCAGCACTGAAACAGACACCTATTCCTTACCCTCTCTTATTTATAAGGAAGTGAACAGGTGTTTTCATCACCCCTCCATTTATGGGGATTTTTGGCTTCGACTGTAGAATTGGACACAAACACCAGCATAATACTAATGGCCAAATAGCACAGCATATCATTAGCCCAACAGTCCCTTCCTCATTGCGAAGCACTCTTGGGAAGAGATGCATTGTAGAAGGGAAGGGGCATGGGGAATGGTACTTAACCTTTCCCCAGCCAGTCACTTTTCTCCTGACACTTGTCATCCCCCTCCCCTGCTTTTAGCCCACCAGTGTTCTAGAACCATGTTCACCTTGCAGGTCTAGGGGGAACTTGGGAAGGGTGAAAAACACCCATTTCTCCCCACCCCCACCCCACAAACACACACTGCTGCTCTACTGCAAAGAGCTCCCTCCTTAGGGTGCTTTGTAAATAGAAAGGGAATAAATGGAGGCAGTGAGAGATTTTACTTTCTTGGGCTCCGTGATCACTGCAGATGGTGACAGCAGCCACAAAATTAAAAGACTCCTGCTTCTTGGGAGAAAAGCAATGACAAACCTAGACAGCATCTTAAAAAGCAAAAACATCACTTTGCCAACAAAGGTCCGTATATTTAAAGCTATGGTTTTCCCAATAGTGATGTATGGAAGTGAGAGCTGGACCATAAAGAAGGCTGATCGCTGAAGAATCGATGCTTTTGAATTATGGTGCTGGAGGAGACTCTTGAGAGTCCCATGGACTGCAAGAAGATCAAACCTATCCATTCTGAAGGAAATCAGCCCTGAGTGCTCACTGGAAGGACAGATCCTGAAGCTGAGGCTCCAATACTTTGGCCACCTCATGAGAAGAGAAGACTCCCTGGAAAAGACCCTGATGCTGGGAAAGATGGAGGGCACAAGGAGAAGGGGACGACAGAGGACGAGATGGTTGGATAGTGTTCTCGAAGCTACCAGCATGAGTTTGACCAAACTGCGGGAGGCAGTGGAAGACAGGAGTGCCTGGTGTGCTCTGGTCCATGGGGTCACGAAGAGTCGGACACGACTAAATGACTAAACAACAACAAAATGAAAGAGAGGCTGTGAAGCAAGGCTAACATGTTGTATGGCTATAAGGAGAATGTTGCGCCCGTTGCTCCA